CCAGCACTTTCCTCAACAAGATGGCCTGGCCCTTTAGGGCACCCCTACCCACTGGCAGTGCACCACAGAATGGACAGCTGCTCCAACTGCTGGTCCCAGATGCCACCAAGCAGTGGTTGATGGAGAATACCAAGGACTGGACACCATGGCCTGGGACAGGCCAGTCGTGTTCCTTCAGCAAACTTGCCCACCTCATAGACACTAGTTCATGCAAGACCTGGATGAGGAGCACCTGAAGAAATCAAGGGAAAAGTATCCTGGAGCTATAGAGCCCATGCTATACCTGCCTCTGGATTGGTACCACCAGTGCTCTGCCCACATGCTAAATATACAGTTGTAGCCTAGTCTTCTCCAGCTGGCTGCCCTCTCTGCCTCCCTCTTTCTATTCCTTCTGTCCATGGCCAGCAATAAATACAGGATCACAAAATTTACATTATAATACCATTTGCAATCATTCAAAGAAAGGAAATGCTTAGGTATAAATTTAACAAAACACATGCAGATCTTATATGCTGAAATTACCAAATGCTAAAAAAAAAATAAAGATCTAAATAAAGATACATACCAATAATTCAAGAATACCATGTTCATGGATTGGAGGACTCAACATAATAAAATTAGCAATTATCCCCAAATTAATATACAGGTTTAATGTACTTCCTATTGAAGTCCCAGTAAGAAATTTTAGAGAACAATCAAAAATTTATATGAAAGACAAAGGAACTAGAACAACTAAAACAATTTTGAAAAACAAAAATAAATTTGAAGGAATTAACTTATTATTTAGCAACTATAATCAAGTCTGTGTGATATTGGTGGAGGAATAGAAATGCAGATGAATGAAACAGAATAGAGAACTCAGAAATAAGCCTTCATATGCCCAACAATTGTTTGACAATAGTGCAAAATCAATCTAATGGAAAAAGGACAGCTTTTTCAACAAATGGTGCTGGAGCAATTAAACAGCCATAGGTTTTTTTTTTTAAAAAAAAAAGAATCTTAACCAAAGCCTCACATTTCATACAAAATTTATTCAAAATGGATCACAGACTTAAAAGACATAAAATTATTAAACTTTTAGAAAAATATAAAAGAAAATCATCAGGATCTAGAAAAAGAGTTTTTAGGTTTGACACCAAAACGAAATCTATTTACAAAAATTGTAAACTGAACTTCATCAAAATGTAAAACTTTTGCTTTGCAACAGACTCCATTAAGAGAATGAAAAAACAAGCTATAGAGGGGGAGAAAATGTTTGCAAACCATATATCTAACAAAGGACTAGTAACTAGAATATGTAAAGAATTCTTAAAACTCAACACTAAAAACCAAGCAATTCAATTAGAAAATGGTTAAGACATAGAAAGAGATTTCACGAAGCGGATGTACACATGGCAAATATGCACGTGAAAAGATGTTCATCAACATTAGTCATTGGGGAAACACAAACTAAAACCACAGTGAGATATCCCTACATAACTATGAGAATGACTTACAAATAATAGCCACAACCCCAAATGCTAACAAGGATGCAGAGAAATTAGATCATTCATACATTACTGGCGGGAAAGTAAAATAACACCGCTATTCTAGCAGACAGCTTGGAAGTTTCTTAAAAAACTAAACACATGACCATCATACAATTCAACCACTGCATTCCTGGGCACTTATCATGGAAATGAAACTTACGTGTGCACAAAAATTTGCATACAATGTTTATAGCAGCTGTATTTGTAACAACATAAAATTTCAAACAACTCAAATGTCTTTTACCAGGTGAATGGTTAAACACACTGTGGTACATCTATATAGTGGAATTCTACTCAGCAATGAAAAGGAACAAACTAGGAACAACAAAAGAAACAGTAAAAAGGAACTAACAAATTGTTTGTTCCTAAAATGGAAGAAACAATGGCTAGCTATCAATAACAGCCCGGATAAATCTTCAGAGAATGATGCTGGGTGAAAAAAAGCTAACTCAAGGTTTACACACCGTATGGTTCCATTTATGTATTTATATATTTTGAAATGAAAATAACTATAGGAATGAAGGTTAGTGAGGATGGGGTGGTTATAAAAGGGGTACATGAGGGATCCTTGTAGTGATGGCAACGTTCTGTATCTGGACTATTTCAATGTCAATATTCTGATTGTAATACTGCACTTCTAATATTGCATTGTAATACTGTAGTTTCATAAGATGTGACCATTGGGGAAAACTCAGTAAAGGGAACATGGGGTCTCTCTGTATTATTTACAACTGCCTGTCAATCACAATTATCTCAAAATCAAAATGCAGTGGAATGCAGAACACGAGGACATAGACAATAATTGCAACTATGTGAAAATGTGGGCACAGTAGGGAAAGAGCGCACAAAACTGAAAATAACTATTTGGAGTACAATTATAGAGAACTCAGTTTCCTAAAATTAAAAACCATTATTTTTTCACTGTGTCTTTCATAATTTGCCAAAGGCCTTTAGGACAGCATTGTGCCAACTGTTTCAATATTTTTTATCACCGTGTGCAAATACCAGGTTTTAGTTTTTGTTGCCAGAGGAGCAAAAAAAAAAAACACACCCGACTTATCTGCCTATCAATGAGTCATATAAAATCTCTAAGCCTCAATTTCTTTAGGAGATCAATAACATCTCTTACATCTGCCTCACCGCATTGTCAAATGAGGCTCAAGATGGTAAGGTGCTCGCAATCCGAAAAGCCATTGTAAAGCCAAAGTGGTCCCCCGCTTTAGATAGCCAGTGTGCAGAATTGCAGCAACTGAAATTGACTGAAGCAAGGAATTAAATTTATCTAGTGTTATGGGCCCAACAGTGTCTCCCTGCAATTCACATGTTTAAGCCCTCACTCTCAGTCCTTCAGAACGGGATTGTGTTGAACACAGGGTTCTTAAAGAGGTACCTGAGGTTAAATGAAGTGACTAGGGTGGTCCTTACGGGAAGATTAGGACACAGACATGCACAGCCATGTAAGCTCACAGGGAGGAGACGGCCATCTCCAAGCCAACGAGAGAGGCCTCTGGCTCCTTGACCTTGGACTTCCAGCCTCCAGAGCCATGCACACATAAATAGCCATGGTTGAAGCCATCCAGTATGTGGCACTTTGTGATGGCAGCCAAGCAAACTAATACGTTGTGGGAAGTAGAAAAGTTCCCCTTTAAAGTTTCCTTTCTTGTTAAAGAATAATCATAAGTGTGCTAATAACTCTTTGTTAAGCCCTATTCTATGTAGCTGTTAGACAACATAGTGAAACCCCTTCTCTACCAAAAAAAAAAAAAAAATAGCCAGGCATGGCTGTGGCCCCAGCTACTCAGGAAGCTCAGCTGCAAGGATAGCTTGGGCCTGGGAGGTAAAGGCTGCAGTGAGCTGTGATTGTACCACTGTACTCCAGCCTGAACGACAGAGCCAGACCCCGACTTAAAAAAAAAGAAAGGAAAACAGAAACCTAAATGATGTGGACAAAATACAGAGCTAAATGGTAGAAGAGTCCAAAATCCAGGCTTCCTGGCTTTTGACTAGAAGGATGGAAGCTCCCAGGGTGGAATGAGGCTAACCCTGTACAGGACGGGAATTCCTCCTGTCGGACGCTGCGTGCATCACAGGCCATAGTCACTCATATTTGGCTCAGAATAAATCACTTCAAATATTTTACAGAGTGTGACTCCTTTCATCAACAATCTGTATGGAAGGGACAGAAGTAATTTTTCTAATTTAAATAAACGGTATCCCTGCCCCCCAGATTGGTCCAGATTCATTTTTCCCAAACACGAATTTCATTCCATTTCTTTGCTATCTGAGAACCTTCTCTGACTCCTCTTCCCTGATGTCGGAAAAAAATCGTGTCCAACTTGTGCCGTCTGACATCACCTCTCGCACAGTCAGCCTCTGGCTCCTTGCGGAGCCTTTCCCACAGTCCCCCTCCACCTCCCAGGGCTCACTTCCCAGCTCTGCCCTCTGCCACCCCATGTCTACCTTTCAGCTTCTGCTCCAGCCCTCCCTCCCTTCAGCCCTCCCCTCCTCTCCAGGCAAACTAAGCTTGAGACCAGCAGGAACCCCCTTTTTAAGGGCCCATGCCCCGACCTCCACTGCTCCAAGCATGGAAAAAAAGGAAAATTCTGAGTTTCTTCAAGGGAAACTCCAGGCAGCTCCCTAGCCCAGAGAGGCAAATACGCAGCTTTATAACAAGATCACAGTATCCTAAAATAATAGCCAAGGAAGTTAGAATTTAGAGACGTCTACTTCCCCTGGAGAAACTAAGACGTATCTTCACAACTGTTTCTGGACACCCTCCCCAAAGGAACCCCACTTACGTATGGACGCACTGGCATGTAGACCTCAGAAAAGGGGAAACTGAGGACTCAACTCTGTTTCTCTCTGTTCTTTGCTCTAATTTCTTCCTGAGGGGCTTGGACAGAGTCACATTTGGAGCCAGTTAACATTTTTTTCACCTGGTCCCAAGGTCTCAGACAAAACTTCTCTTCCTTAACGAATTTCAGATCAGAAAATCTTTGACTCAACCCATAACCTGAAAGCCCCCACCTTAAGATGGTGCCCCCATTTAGGCCAAAAGCAGCTGTCAACTCCAGGTGCTAAGTTGCCATTCTGCCTGAAGCTTTTGTTTTCCTGGAGCACCTGGGAGCCCTGGGGGAGGTCAGGGTTTGAGCAATAGACACCCCAGCTGCCTTGCTTGGTGCCCTGCAAATAACTGCCTTCCTTTCTACCCCTGCAACCTCGGTGGGGATTTCTGGACTTTCTGCATGGGGCAAGTGGACCTCTGCTCAGTTCTATAACCAGCTTGCCTATTCAAGGCCACTTTATTCCACTCTGAAGCCTCCCAGACAACTGCGACTCTCCCATTTTCCAACTCTGTGCCTCAAAACCCTCTGGGCCCTCATTTCATTAATCAATTGGCCTCAACTGGTCCCCCGCCCCGCCCCCACCCCAAAGATTTAGCAGCTCCCACCCTGCCACAAAGTGCTTCCCACTGGAAAACTTTCCAAATAAATCAGTAAACCAGTACCTGGGGCTTTCGCTGGAAAGTCAAATTAGAGGATTTGTTTGAAGACTCTTTTTCATTCAAAATAAGCAGGGGTTATTTTTGACAGGTTAGTTCAAGACAGACATACTCACAAATTCCTTCTTACAAAGCAAACATTCCATTTTAATAGATTTAACCTGATTCTCAGGATATAAACATAAAAAGAGACATCTGTACTTCCCTCTCAGCACCAGAGGTAACTGGGTGCCACCCTCTAGCAACACTGGGGCATAGCGGAGCAGAAGGAGGAGGAGGGGAGGGAAAAGGTCAGGGGTCAAAGGCCACTAGTCACTGTCACACTGGCCAAGATGAACTCTGGAAAAACTATTTCATAAAGCACGTCATAAAACAGCCTGTCCTTCCCTCGTGGAAATAACATTGTAACTGGAAATTGATTCAGCACCGTAAATATACTGAAAGTGAAGACATCCCATCTGTATTAGTCCATTTTCACACTGCTGTAAACAGCTACCTGAGACTGGGTAATTGATAAAGAAAAGAGGTTTAATTGACTCACAGTTCTGCAGGCTTAACAGGAAGCATAACCAGGAGGCCTCAGGAAACTCACAGTCATGGCCGAAGGCAACGGAGAAGCAAGCACATCTTCCTACGGCAGCAGGAAAGAAGCGGGAGGCGTAGAGAGAGGTATTTCCTACGGCTAAATACCCAGATCTCACGAGAACTCACTCACTATTGCATGAACAGCAAGAGGAAGCTCTGCTCCTACCATCCCATCACCTCCCACTGAGGCAGGAGAATAGGGAATTAGGGTAACCAAGGGTTAACGCACACGTGGAAGAACAGCAGGTGCAGCCAGTTCCAGGCAAGGGTGAGCTGCACACAGGCCGCTTCCTGGCTCCTGTGATAACAAGACAGAAGTTTCCACTTCAGCCTCTGATTGACCACAGGCCTGGTCTCCACTTCAGCCTCTGATTGGTCACGGGCCAATCCTTCATAGGGTGTAACCAGCTGGGGCCTCTCAAGGGCACGTCAAAGTGTTACCAGATTCTTTTAGCCTAATGCAAATCCTAAAGAACACCGCAACTGGGGGCTCTGGAGCTGCTTGTTCCAGCATGTTCCCACTCTAGGGAGGGCACTTTCACTTCAATAAATCTGTGATTTTGTTGCTTCATTCTTTTGTTACTTTGTGTGTTTTGTTCAATTCTTCATTCAACACACCAAGAACTTGCATAACTCACACTCAAGACCTTCCATGTGGTAACAACACCAGGCCCCTTCTCCCACTCAACAGGAGATCTGGGCGGGGACACAAATCCAAACCATATCACCATCAATAAAACAGTTCTTAAATTACTCACCAGAAAAATCTACACAAAACTTGGAATAAATACACTATATGTGCTAATTAACAGAGGTTCCATTATATGCTCATGAATACATGAATGTACAATTTTGCTGTGTCATAAATGTCATCTACCATGAATACATTAGCCATAATCGTAAACTTCGAATCAATACTAAATTTCCCTTGCCTTCTTGGCATTTGGACAAGTTTTGTGAAGGTGATTTGCTTGGTTCCGGCTTTCTAAAAAAAGTCCATGGAGAAAGTTTGAACAGGTGTAGCCAAGAGAGGGATTCATCTTCAAATACTCGGTCCAACTTAGAGCAGCCTTAGCCTCTTAGGTGACAGGTGGGCAAGTGGAGGTGGCAAGAAGAGCATGGAAGCCTGAGACAGTGCCCAGAATTATTCTGGAATGACAAAGGAAAGTTAAGAGTCATCCAAACATTAGTGAATTTTTCAGCAGGTGGCAGGGAGAAAGGAGAACCCACATGGGCAGTGGCCGCAGATACTGGGGTGGCTGAGTCCCACATTCACCGTGAGATGGTTACTTTGACATGTCAGGCTTGCTGGGCCCCGGTGCCCAGCTGTTTGGCCAGACACCGGTCTAGATGTTGCCATGAGGTTATTTCTTAGATATGATTACATTTAAATCGGCAAACGTCCCGTGAAGCAGACTATCTGTCATAATGTGGGTGGGCCTCATCCAATCAGTTGAAGACCTTAAGAGCAAAGACCAATTTCCTTCCCAGAGAGGAAGAAATTCTCCTGAAGGTTGCAGCCTAGAAACCTCACCCGAGTTGCCAGCCTGTTTTGCAGAATTCACACTCAAGACTGCAACATCAACTCACCTGAATTTGCAGCCTGTCAATCTCCCCTGCAGCTTCAGACTGGCTAGCACCCACACAGTGGGAGCCAACTCCTTAAAATAAATGTAGTCAGGTAGATAGTAGGTAGGTAGAGAGATGGATGACAGATAGATCGCTAGACTGATGATAGATGGACAGATGAGAGAGAGAAAGGGAGAGACAGATAAGTATCTTTTGTTAGCTGTTTCTTTAGAGAACACTGGCTGATATAATCTTCTAGCATCTTCAGCCAAGAAGAAAAAAATTGTGCATAGAGTGGCCTGGATGGCAGAGAAGCTGCAACATATGAGGAAAAGTGTGGCAAAGGACTCCAGTTCACTCCGTCCCTACCTCACTTTCCCAAAGACAATAGGAGCCTTCTGAGTTCATGGGACAGCCCTGAGCACTGGGCTTTTCAGAAATAGGAGCCACCCACGCAGAGGGCATCAAAAGTCCAGAATGAAACTATGGATGCTTTTTGTGCCTCAATCAGATGAACTTGGGAATGAGGCCAGTTCACCTCTTCAAGCCCCAGGTCCATCAGGCCAATGCTTCACGATCAACCATGTGTGTAGCACAGAGCCAGGGCTTTGGGGGCGGAGGACCTGGCTCTATCGATTTCTGGCCCCTGGAAAGGACAAGGGCAACCTGTGTTCTCATTTGTAAAATGAAGATAATTTTGACCCCAGGCTCACAGAGTGACTGAGAGCACTAGACTCACCAGCATGTGCCTCCTGAGCCAAAATACTAAACAAATAGAAACTGAAGCCAGTCACTCCTTACACCTCAGTGCTATTTTCCTTTTTTTCTTTTCTTTCCTCCCCTTTGCTCCCCTCCCCTCCCCTCCCCTTCCTTTTTAAGACAGAGTCTTACTCTCTCCCAGGCTGAAGTGCAATGGTGTGATCTCACTGCAACCTTTGCCCCACCAGGTTTAAGAGATTCTCCTGCCTCAGCCTCATAAACTGCTGGCACTACAGGCCTGCACCACCATGCCCAGCTGATTTTTGTATTTTTAGTAGAGATAGGGTTTTGTCATGTTGGCCAGGCTGGTCTCAAACTCCTGACCTCAATGGATCTGCCCTCCTTGGCTTCCCAAAGTCCTGGGATTACAGGCATGAGCCACTGCACTGGGCCCACTCAGTACTATCTTCAAGACAGCTGCTAGGGCACCTCCCACAGGGAAAATACTCCCCTTAGGTTGTGACGACACAAGACTTCATGTAGGGGTCCCCCAAATCGTAGGGAGATAATTTCCACGTCTTTGAAGGATATGAAAATTGGCCCCCTTAGGGGAAAATATGGGCTGAGAGACAGTGGCCAATTGTGAGGTCCCTGGGGATGAAGAAATTGGATTCTGGCAGGTGAAGCCTCTCTGCAGGATGAGGACAGAAGCGTCATCGTAACGCCCCCCAAACAAGGAGCCCACAAACCGTAAGACGGGAGAAGGGGACATCGGCTGCTGCAAGACTGCAAAACCAAGCACACACTTTACAATTACTAACTCGCCTGACTCCCACAGAGATCCCCAAAGCATCATTAGACTATCTTTATTTTTTTTTTACACATAAACGAAGGCTCCAAGAGACTTGGCCAAGGTCCCCACATTGTGAGGGGGGAGCTGAGACCTACATACATGCACGTGAGTCTGTCACTGTCACCTGCCCCTTTCACGACACCTGTGCCCTCTCTCCCAAGGTCATGAGGTGATGATTCTCCGCTGGGGTCTGAAGATCAATGAGACAGACCAGGCCCTAAGACAATAAACAAAGATAACATCAACAGGTCGATGCTTCTGTTTTAGGAAAGGGAACCTTCAGAGCATGATCAAGTTGAACAAACCGCCCACCCTCCTGGAGCTTTTCCTGCAGAGAAAAACAGACATTCCATCAGCACAATTTCTACCTACCGCCAATCCCTGAAAACAATAATCAAATAAAATAGAAGATAGACCAGCATGACTATGTCGTCTCAGGAAGGAGAAGTGCAGGACATCACAGGAACTCATGAGGGGCAGGAGTGGGGTGGGGCGAAGCAAAGGCTTCAAGGAGGATGTGAGGTTAAGCCGAGAACTGATGGAAGTTCAGGCCGGGGCATACATGCCTCCGAGTCCACGTACACGAAGCCAAAGGCCAACAGGACCAGCTGTACTCCAGAGACACAGCTTAAAGCATGCGGATATTAAAACAAAACGTGGACGTGCTATGGCTCAAAGTGTGGAAATCTGTACATATTTTTAGTTCAATGGGAGCCCTCCAAGAAGTCCCCAGCTTGAGACTGGCCCCATAATGGCCTGTTCACCTTCATCCGCCACAAAGCCTACAGGTCTGATGCAAATCAATGCAAATCAAGCCCTCAGAGGAAACGTGTAGGGTCCAGACACACTGAGTTCAGTCTGCTTGATTTCAAAGCATGAGATCATTGGCTGCTTTCCCCAGAGGCTGCCTGCTTGACACAACTTTCAAGCTGAATGCCATCTCCAGTTCCCTTGGGTGACGACTTGCAAACCATGGTGAAGTCCAAATTGCTCAGCTGCCACTTCCTTCCCTTTCCTTTCCATCCTGAAGGAATCTGCAGCCCCACCTTGGCTGGGGTCTTGGCACCTCTCTGAACCAGCCAGAAGGAGTTCACATAAGTGCCCAAGAAGAGAGCAGAGGGAGATAAGTAAAAGCGACGTGCTTCTATTAGAAGCTACAGACAGACCCGCGATAACACTTAAAAGTCAGTTTTAATTCTGAGAAAAAATGGAAGTCAAAGCCCATCTGATGTGAGATTGAATGAATAGATAAAAAATTCAATTAGAAATGGCAGAGACTTGTCAATGATTTCAAAAGCCCCTCCAATCCCTTCTGCGTGGGCAGCAAAATGAACCTGGCAAAAATGCAAATCACTCCCCTGTGCAAAACCCTTCCATACCCACTCACAACAAAACCCAGACTGCTCACCATGGCTGCAAGGCCTCAAGCCTCTTTTTTCCCCAGCTCGCTGCTTTCTGGACCCGCTGGCCTCTCAGCTCCCACACGCACCACGCTCTCTGTGCCTCTGAACAGCCATGCAGGCAGCTCCTACTGCCTGCAGCGTGCTTCCACCAGCGGTACTGCTGGGATTCACTCAGAGTGGGTGGCAAAATATTAAGGGAAATATTACCGAAAGTTATAAGATACAGTCTCAAACCTTTTAGAAGGCTGAAAGGTTTTCATCAACTTGTAATAATGGAACAGGCTGAATGCAGCCAGTTCTTACCTTAGAGCATTAGGTCATAAGGTGAAGATTAAGGATAATAGAAGCTTCCCCATTTAAGTCAGTGTACCCCACAGTCCTTTGTCTCTGCTCTAACTAGCTTGTTTACTCACATAAACTTGGTGCCGAGTGGTCCTCTCAGGGGGAGGTTGACCAGCAGGAGGGGGATTACTTGTTTATGGTGTTGGCTCTGGGTCCCAGAACCAAACGTTTCATCATTCCTAAAACCACTCTTTTAACCCTGTTAATGATCCACAAGTGTGTTGAATTAGAACCTCTGTTATTAAATTGATACTGAATAAATGCAAGGAAGGACAGCTATTGAGGGGCTGGGTAGCTGCAATTGCCCTCTGAGAGCAGCGGATGACCTCCCTAACCCACTCGTTCACTGGACTTTGTGTGTAAGTGCATTTATTCATCTGTCCTGGAGTCAGAGTTTGCAGGACAGACTCCCACAGGTGTGATCAGTGTCTCAGGCAGTGACCCTGACGGGATCATCATCACATGGTACCCTTTGCTTGCCTCTCCCCTGAGAGAGGCCTCACTCGACCATCCCATCTTAGTAGCGTCTTCCTGGGTTAGTCTCACCTTAATGCTTGTGTTCTCCTTCAGTGCACCAAAGACAATCTGTTGAGTTTGTTTATGCAAAGTCCTGTATCTCCAACTAAAATGTCAGCTTGCAGAGAGCAGAAGAGATCAAGCCTGTATAGCTCACTGATGAATTCCTGTTGGGAGACACTGACCCATGAGCTGCTCACGTTTCTGCACAGCTTGAGAAGGAGCCCTTAGTTCCAGGGTATCTTTTCAAGGATGTCTGTCTGGTGAAAACCAGTGGTAAATAGAGAGCATCTCCTTCCAGAGCAAGTCAGGTGTGTGTGCTGTCCGCTACGGCAAAGACCATGTCTCCTTCTGGAACAAAGGACAGGCAGACTTGTTGCCTGTGATTTATGAAGCTTAAAACAGCAAATGCAAATGTCAACCGAGCAAAATAATATTTAGGATACATGTGCACAGGGAGTAACAAACACAAAATTCACAATAATGTGTGGGAGGCCATCAAGGAGGCCAGGGGGTAGAATCTGTGAGAAGCCGCCAGAAGTTTCCATGCCATTGGGAGTGCTTCTGCCAGCTGATACCCTTAGACTCTCAACTGAGAGATGCCAACTTAACCATCCCATGTTGGTAGCATCTTCCTGGGTATGCATAAAAGACACCTGGATATGCATAAAAGACAATCTACTATATGTATCGTGTATTATGTAATATATACATGGTATATGACAGGAATAAATATGGTAACATAGTAATATATATTATCTACATAGCTAATGTAGATAATACATAAATACATGTCATCTATATTATTAATATATATAGCATATATGTTTATAAACATAACATAGAGCAGTGGTCCCCAACCTTTTTGGCACCAGGGACCAGTTTCATGGAAGACGATTTTCCTTTTCTTTTTGAGATTGAGTTTTGCTCCTGTTGCCCAGGCTGGAGTGCAATGGTGCAATCTCAGCTCACTGCAACCTCTGCCTCCCAAGTTCAAGCAATTCTCCTGCCTTAGCCTCCCAAGTAGCTGAGATTACAGCTACCACAATGCCTGGCTAATTTTTTTTTTTTTTTTAATTGGAGTCTCATTCTGTCACCAGGCTGGAGTACAGTGGTACAATCTCGGCTCACTGCAACCTCCGCCTCCTGGGTTCAAGCCATTCTCCTGCCTCAGCCTCCCAAGTAGCTAGGATTACAGGCACATGTCACCATACCCAGCTAATTTTTGTATTTTTAGTAGAGACAAGATTTCACCATATTGGCCAGGATGGTCTTGATCTTTTGACCACCTGCCCACTTTGGCCTCCCAAAGTGCTGGGATTACAGGTGTGAGCCACCACACTCAGCTCAATGTTTTGTATTTTTAGTTGAGACAGGGTTTCACCATGTTGGCCAGGCTGGTCTCAAGCTCCTGACTTTAGGTGATCCACCCCTCTTAACCTCCCAAAGTGCTGGGATTACAGGCATGAACCACAGCAGCCGGCCAAAAGACAGTTTTTCTATGAACAGAAGAGTATGATGTTCTAGATGATTCAAGCACGTTACATTTATTACGTACTTTATTTCTATTATTATCACATTGCAATATATAATGAAATAATTGCACAACTCACCATAACGTAGACTCAGTGGGAGCCCTGAGCTTGTTTTTCTGCAACTGGATGGTCCCATGTGGGGGTGATGAGAGACACTGCCAGACCATCAGGCACTAGTCAGATTCTCAGAAGGAGCTTGAAACCTAGATCCCTCACACACACAGTCCTCAATAGGGTCTGCACTCCTGTGAGAATCTAATGCCACTGCTGATCAGACAGGAGGTGGCGCTTGGGGGATGGGGAGTGGCTGTTAATACAGATGAAGCTTTGCTCACCTGCTTGCTCACCTCTTACTGTGTGGCCTGGTTCCTAACGGGGCAGGGGACCCCTAATATAGAGGACATGATGTAGCAATGCCCCAGTTGTTAGTTGGGTGGTAGACTCACAAGTGTTTATTATATGTCATAGCCAATATGTAGTTAAAAACATCATTTTGTATGATCTCATATTCCCTCTGATAGTTTCAATAGTAACAGTGACCATTTCAAGGTAAGATTTAGGCATGATTTCCTTCTCCCATGTAAGTTTCTGAATAGTCTAAGTTCTTTTCAAAAAATAACAGATTATTTCTAGAATCAGAAAACATAAACTTTGTAAAATATATGAGAAAAACGTATATTGGCAAATTACAAATGGAAATGGAAATATCTTTCCCATTTCAGGAGAAGAAAGTCCTGGATGATTTTCTGCTGATAGGTTTAGAGACCCGAAGCTCCTCTGCAGTGCTGGCTCTCAATCTCTGCTCCTCCTGGGTTTCACCTACTTGAAACACGTCTCTCATTTCCAGTCCCAGACTGGAAGGAAGTTAGCGTTGAACTGAATTGAGTGGATATCTCAATTCTCTGGGAAATCGAATTTTTTCCTAAATGGAGAGAGGCGGTCCGTGGAGATTGATGAGGCACCGCCCCAACCCCATGCCCTGTCCCAACCATAGGCGGCTCAGGCTGGCTATGGCACAGGCATGGAGCCAAGAGAGGCTGGGTGCTTTCAGGCAGGGAGACTTTCCCAGAGAGGGCAGGGCCTGGGACCAGAAAGAACCCAGGAATGTCACCGGGATATTTGGGAGATTGGAAATCATAGCCACAATATTCTCAAGCATCTCCTGTGAGGAGGAGGTATCTAGTTCTCTGCCTCTTTAATCTGGGCTGGTCTTGGTACTTGCTGTGGTCCTCCAAATGTGGTACAAGCAGCATTGCGTATCTTCCAGAACTAAGAGGACTGCAGCTTCCATTCCCTCTTTTTTTTTTTTTTTTACGCAAACACCATGTAAAGAGGTCTAAGCTCTCCTGCTAGATGGAGGAGCTGCATGGAGAATGAGACCCTGAAGGATGAGAGACCCTGGGGAGGAAGACTCCGCAGGAAAGAGACCCAAGACATCACAGCAGACAGCCAATGCCAAGGTTCCATCTATGTGAGGGAGGTCACACTATGTCCTCCAGCCCAGGCGATCCTGGTGACAGCACTTGGAGCAGAGGGCTGAACCCACTGACCCCTGCCCAAATACTTCACCCATAGAGTCATAAGCCATCAAATAGTTCTGATTAGCCAGAGTTCTGGGTGCTTTGGACCCCAGCAACAGATAACTGACACAGGGTGACAGAACAACAATATAAAAATACATCTCAGTTAATTGAAAAGTTTGCAGGACCCACTATTAAAAATTAGGCAGGAAGTCAGACCATAACTGGGCCATCTTACTCTGCCTGTCAACTCATCCAAAACCCAACAGCAAATTCTTGAAGGATAATCTTAAAGATGAAAAGGAGCGAATTTTACTAAGTGTGTCATACAAAAGGCTTTCTAGAATCCTCTTTGGACTCTCTCTTTATCAATTACTTTTCAGTTACAGCAACTGCCAAAAGTCAGTCTCTCCCCTTCCCTGACTTCACACTTATGCACACATGCACAGCACACAGACACACACATATGCACATGTACACAGATGCACAAGCACACAGGCACACACATATACACACATGCACAAGTACACAGGCACACACATATGCACATGTACACACATTGTATGAGACTGTGCTTGCATTGCTATATGAAAATACCTGCGACTGGGTAATTTGTAAAGAAAAGATGTTTCATTGGCTCATGGTTCTGCAGGCTGTACAGCAAGCAGTGCAGGCATCTGCTCAGCTTTTGGGGAGGCCTCAGGAAGCTTGAACTCGTGGTCAAAGGTGAAGCGGAAGCAGGCACTTCACACGACCAGAGCAAGAGCAAGAGGGTGAGCAGGGGGCATGCCACAGACTTTTTAACAACCTGATCTCATGAGAACTCACTACCGCAAAGACAGCACCAAGGAGACAGTGCTAAGCCATCCATGAGAAATCCACCTCATGAGCCCATCACCTCCCACCAGGCCCTGCCTCCAACACTGGGATTACATTTCAACGTGAGATTTGATGGGACAGATATCCAAACCATATCACACATATACAAATGGACTTGCACACACACACACACACACAGACATGTCTACACACATGTTCACACATACACACACGCACACGGGCATGCATGCACACACACACAATTCCCTACCTCCCTGCCATGTTGCTTTACTGGCACTTCCTCTTCCATCACTGGCTGTCATTTGTGTGGCAGTGACTCTCTTCCTTTCTAAAGCCCCCTCTTCTTCTCCAAGTCCTCTTCTTTTGAGGAGAGCAGCTACTTGGGCTTCTGATGAATCAATTTTCCATTTATTACATACTCAAGCTGCAATAGCCACCCTTGTCAAGTTCCATGTATTTCACCTCTTCAATTTCTTTCCCTGCAGATTCTACAGTCCAAAGCCAAGGAATCCTTTCTGTTCCAGCTCAAATGCCACATTCTCAAAACACTTTTTTCATGCTTCTCACTTCCACCCTCCATATCAACAGCCCGTGGAATAAGCTTCTGTCTTTGCTGACCTTGGGGTTATCCCCCTATCTTGCTCCACACAGGTCTGCCTCTCTTGCTAGTTTACAACCTGCTCGCGTGAAGTGCTGTGCCTTATTAATCTCTGTAACCACCACAGGCTCTAACTCAGTAGCACGCGCATGGCAGGCGTTCAATGACATTTGTCAAACTGAATGTAATTTAAACAAGGTCATTCATTCAGGTCTGTGCCAGGAAAAATAAAAGTCACCTTTTCTAAGATAAGCTGAGGTTATGTGCGTATCAAGTCAGTCCAAACTGAAAGTTACATCAAATGACAAATAATTTTCTATTTCAAAACTAGAAAAGGAATGGATTTTGTTTGGAAAATAAGAACAGGAATGATGTTTTTCCTTCTCTTCAGTGTTTTCCTGTATTTTGTAAATAAATGTGTATTCATTTTATAATAGAAATAAACTTCTCTAGGAGTAACTCAGAAAACAGAAATCATATTATCGTTTATGACAGTATGTCCACCGGATAACTTCTTTCAAAGTGCTCTGAAGGCAGTATACTTGTGTCTTCAGCCTGAAAGAATCATCCACCCATTTTCCAATGCTATCAGCTAAGTACTCCACTAAAGAGAGGAAAATGGCTCTTGGTCCAGCTCTGTGATAGGCAGACGTGAAGCATCTGAAAGCCCATCAACCCACACGCCCAGCTGGCCAGCTTCCTTGTCTCCAGCTGATCCTTAGAATTTAGTCTCAGTCCCAGATTTATAGATGAAATGCTCCCATCACATCCCATCTAGCTGAGTTATCAAAATGACTCTAATTTTGTTCTCTTTGACAGGGTCTTGCTCTGTCGCCCAGGGTGGAGTGCAGTGGCACAATCATAGCTCATTGCAGCCTCGAACACCTGGGCTCAAGCAATCTTCCTGCCTCAGCCCCTCAAATAGCTGGGACCATAGGTGTGCGCCACCACATCCAACTATTTTTTTGTATTTTTTTGTAGAGATGGGGTTTCCCAGGCTGGTCTCAAACCCCTGGGCTCAAGAGATCCAGCTAAAATCGCTCTAATTTCATTATTTTAAATCTTTTCAAAGCTAAACTTCCAGAAACACCTCTATTTTAATTTGGGGAGACCATGTCTTGACCTTTCCTTAAGAGAGTCTAAAGTTGTCTTTACATTAAAATAAGATCATAACTCCTCAACCGAGCATACAAATCCTTCCCCTGCTCTAGTCTGCACTTTCGGCTTCTCTGGGTGTTCCCTGGAAGCCTGTTTCTCAGAGTTGTCAGTATACCACCTGCATCAGAATCACCTAAGGGTCGGGCGCAGTGGCTCACACCTGTAATCCCAGCACTTTGGGAAGCCAAGGCAGTAAGATTGCTTGAGCCCAGGAGTTCATAGACCAGCCTGGGCAACATTGCAAAATCCCATCTCTACCAAAAATAAAAAAATTCACCAGACATGATGGTGTGAGCCTGTAGTCCCAGCTACCCAGGAGGCTAAGGTGGGAGGATCAACTGAGCCCAGAAGATTGAGGCCTCAGTGAGCCGTGATCATGCCACTGAACTCCAGCCTGGGCAACAGGATGAGAGCCTGCCTTTAAAAAGGAGGGAGGAGAGAAAGAAGAAAGGAGGGGAAGGGAGGGGAGGGAAGGGGAGAGGAGGGGAGGGGAGGGGAGGGGAGGGGAGGAAAGGAGGGAAGGAGGGGAGGGGAGGGGAAGAAAGAAACAAAGAGAGAAAGAAGAACACCCTGCATACTGATTTAAGTGTGGACTTCCGAACCCACACACAGATCCAGACAGAATTGAAAACACGTTTCCCAGGTGATGTTCAGGTTCACAAAAGCTGCACACCACAGCTTCAGAGCCCCTAGAGTCTCAGCATCCCTCCACGGAGCATGCCATTTCCCACCCTCTGCCTAGAACAACCCCTCTTCCTTCTCTGCTGATCCCTGCTTGTTTTTCTAGACCCAGCTTGACTGTCACCTGCCCCATGAGGCACTGCCAGCCTCGAAGGAAGAATAAGTGATTTCCTCAACTCCCCACACTTACCACTTGATATATATGCAGCTAGAAGAACTTGTATACTTGTCTGATCTCTACCAAATAGGACCTTGTTCTTTTTTAATGAAAAGTAGATTTTTAATTTCTTAAGGTGATCTGGAGGTCAGGAGTGATGGGAATAGGAAGCTCAAGCCCAGTGTTTCTGGCCTATGGGATAGCACCAGTCACTGGATTTGAACATAAGGTCAGACCATGGATACTTGGGAGCCACAGAGTGTTCTTGAGCAGGGCATGGGTATGTGAGAGCAAAGTGGTGGGTGGCTGAAGGAAGACACTGTCCTGGGGCAGTGGCCCCTCTTCCTCTCCCAGGCTTAGAGGGGGGGTTCCTCTGCCTTGTGCTAACAACATCTGGGGCTGGATTATTCTTGGTGGTGGGGGCCGTTCCAGGCATTGCAGGATATTAAACAGCATTCCTGGGCCACACACTTGATGCCAGTGGCACCTCCCAGTTTTGAACACCAAAAATATCTTGAGACATTACCCAGGATCCCCCTCCAGTGAGAGGCACTGTTTTGGAGTGGGAGGTGTGAGATCAAACAGAGCGAGACCAAACCAGAAAGGTTGTGCTTGCTGCTATACCCATCCAGCCTCAGTTTTCTCCACTGCAAAATGGGTACATGAGTGTCTGTAAGAGTGTCTGGAGCCACACAAATGCTCCATAAACATGAGCTGGGAGCCCTGTTATCGTAAGTTCAGCCCACTTATTATATAGAGGATGATGCTGAGGTCTTGAGGCCTCTAGGGCAGGAATGCAGGATTTTCTTCCAGCTTGGGTCACCTGTGGGCCACCCATCTGATTTTGCCAGACTCAGTGTGTTACTCCTCCTGAGCAATCAGCCATGAATCCTGATGCGTGCAAGCCAGTAAGGAACTTATGATTTTCCTATGACTCATTAAACACACTGCTATTTTAAAAACTTTCAACCTTGTTCCACCTAAAATCATTTTTTCATCACCTGCTGGTGGCCAGAGATCACATGGGAAAGGCTGAGCTGGCTGTAGGTATACAGCAGGCACTCAGCAAGGCTTAGTGTTGGTGAATGGTTTCCACACTGGGTCAGGACCCAATATGTGGATCAGGAGCTTCTTGAGAACTGGAATGTCCCCTTCACCACCAGCACAGGGTCCTGGAGGACGTGAGCAGAGCAGAGGAGAGGAAACTGGGGAGGTATGTCAGGGCCAGGTCAGGAGGGTTGAGAGGGGCAGGCTGGCGATGATGGCATGGACTGCACATGTCACTGAGTGGCAGCACAGAGTACTGGTGAGACCACGCCCTTCCAAATCCAAAAGACTGTTTCACCCTGCTGCGTTCTTACTGGCTGCGTGACCCCAGCCAGTAAGAACTCCCTGAGTCTCCATTTCCTCATCTGAAAAACAGGGATGGTACCACCTACTTCCCAGGTAGCGTTCCCAGATGAAATGCAGGATGCCCAGGAGGTGTTTGAATTTCAGACAAATAATGTTTTTTTAGCACAAGCAAGTCCGATGTAATATTTAGCTCACACTTTTACTTTTTGTTGTTATTTTCTTTAGAGAAGCAGGCTCTCGCTCTGTTGCCCAGGCTAAAGTGCAGTGGCGTGATCACAGCTCACTGCAGCCTCCACCTTCGGGCTTACGGAATCCTCCCCCCTCAGCCTCCTGAGTAGCTGGGATTACAGGTGCCTGCCACCATGCCTGGCTAATGTTATTTTATTTTATTTTATTCTTGTAGAGATGGGGTCTTGCTGTGATGCCCAGGCAGGTCTCAAACTCCTGGCCTCAAGTGATCCTCCTACCTCAGCCTCCCAAAGCACTGGGATTACTTTTACTTTAAAAATTTTATTATTGACCTGAAATTCAAATCTAGAGGAGCATTCTGTATTTTATTTGCTAAATCTGACAACCTTATCCAAGAGTATCACAGGAATTAAAGAAAATGATTTCAAGGGCCTGGCAGAGGCACGCACACAGTAGGCGCCATGTTTTCTAAGCGATAGTGCTTAGAAAACAACAGGAAATCATTAACGTGACTTGAAAAGAGCATGACACAGCCATCCATCTCAGAGTCTAAATTTAGCTCTGGCCAGAAACAATTATTTGAGATTTCTTAACATGCCTAGAAGTAGAAAGTCGAAGTCATTTAAAATATACCATGTAGTAGCTTTCAATTATAACTTTATCTTTTCCAGGTTCTGCCTCAGCAACTTTGTAATCTAGCGTGTTTGAAGTGTCTAAAGACTCCCAGCGTAATGAATGGGGGTAATCATAGTCTTTCCCAGAATGCCTCGGCTTTGATGATATAGTGTGGCCGCCACATGGTCTGACTCGAATGACAATTGACTAACTCACGTTTCTGCTCAATTAGCTTCCAGACCTCCATAGCAGAGCCAGCGTCTTAAGCTCTGTCTCCTGGCAAGTCCCCTCCCATCAAGAGCCTCAATCTCCAACCAAGGCTTTCCTTGAAGAACAGGATACATTTATCTTTCACAGATGACTCCTGGGAGCAAATGAAAAAGTTAATAAATAAGCAGAGGAAATCATATGGAGCTTAACCCGGGTGTATTTTTCTCTAGGACTACTAAAGAATCAGATGGGGCAGACTCCGCCAAGCCAGGTGGCCTCCAGTTTTTCCTTCCCACTTTTTTGGATGCAGGGTTGAATCCAAAAAATCTCCCAATTTTTCCTACAGCCAGGTATGCCCATGGGGCTTGGATCTAACCTATGGGTTGTAGGTGAAAGCGACATGTGTAACTCTCATGTCATTTGTTGAGGATGGCACCCACTAGCCTGGGCTCCTGGGTGAGGTTTAAGATAGAAACCTGGACCTAAACTTGAGAGGATAAAATTCTGGCCAGGCGTGGTGGCTCACACCTGTAATCCGAGCACTGAGAGGCCAAAGCAGATCACTTGAGCTCAGGAGTTCAAGACCAGCCTGGGCAACATGGTGAAAGCTTGTCTGTACAAAAAAAAAATTAACCAGGTGTGGTGATGTGCACCTGTAATCCCAGGCACTCAGGAGGCTGAGGTGGGAGGATTACTTGATCCTGGGAAGTGGAGGCTGCAGTGGGTTATGATGGCACTCTGGCCTGGATGATAGAGCAAGACCCTGTCTCAAAAAAAAAAAAACTAGAATAAACTTCTTTGTCTTAAAGCCACTAAATGTCACTGGGTCACCTTGTTACGTCAGCCTAGCCTTTACTCCACATAGCTCAGTTAATCTACAGAACTCAATGTTTCTCAGATCAGTTATGCCTAGCATGAATTCCAACACTATCTAAACCAAGCCCTATGGGAAATTGTGTTTTCTGGAATATTCCTATGCTGAAGCCCTAACCCCAAGACCTCAGAATGGGGCAGTGTTTGTGTTGCCAGTGGGTCAGCTCAGGTTCCCGACTTCGCCGCACAAAAGAATTTGAAAACAAGACCAAAGTCAAAGTCAGAAAGAGAGTTTCTTGCAAAACGAAGTTCCCTCTGACAGCTGATCACAGCCGGCCCCTGAAAAGCATCATACCGTGAGTGACGTCATCCTGGCGGTAGATACTCGGAACCAGCATCATACCGTGAGTGACGTCATCCTGGCGGTAGATACTCGGAACCAGCATCATACCGTGAGTGACGTCATCCTGGCGGTAGATACTCGGAATGGTTGATACCTTAAGGTAATCAGAACAAGCTTTATGTTCAGGTGAGGTGACTTGTGCCTGTAATCCCAATGCTTTGGGAGGCTGAGGCAGAAGGATCACTTGAGGCAAGGAGTCTGAGACCAGCCTGGGCAACATAGCAAGACCCCATCTCTACAAAAAAATAAAATATTGGCCAGGCACGATAGCACACCCTATAGTCCCAGCTACTCCAGAAGCTGAATCAGGAGGAGGCTAGTTGGAGCCCAGGAGTTCCAGGTTACAGTGAATTACGGTTGGGCCCCTGCACTCCAGCCTGGGTGACAGAACAAGATGCTGTCTCCAAAAAAAGAAAAAGAAAAAGAAACAAGGAAAACAAACAAAATAAACAAGCACTAGTTAAGATTAACACACTCCGAGGTCAAAATACTTATAAGTTATACATTCGTGTGTCTTTAAATTGCTTATCTAGATATTATTAGAACTGTCTGTGTCATTCAAGAAACTTGCATTTACTTTAATCCTCACAGCAAACCTGTTTGGTTCCTTGGTACCTGTTGAGAGAAGAAGCAACTGAGGCTGGGGAAAATGAATGTTAACCCAAAGCCACGTGGCTGGGGAGGGCAGAAGGAGGATTAATCCCAGGACTGGCTGACTCCAGAGGTCTCTCCACTCCACCACACCGCTTCCTCACAGATCACCCAGCCCCGCCTTCTCATTCTACTGGTGAAAAAACTAAGATCCCAAAACGTAGGTGACTCCATCGTATGACATGGCCAGTGCGTGCCAACGCTAGTTGTAAAGTTCAAAGGTCCAGTTCAGTTCTTTTTCCCCCAGGGCCTGTGGTACTCACCTTGCAGGAAGTCCTGATTCTCCCATCAGAGACCACAGGAACACACAGGCACCTGATCAAGTCCAGTTTATCACACATTGCAGGCCAGGAAAACACACTGCATCAGGAGCGTGGCGCGTCCCAATAAGAAGGTGTTCAGGGGTTTGCGCATGTGTTAGGTGGTTTGAGGAAGACTTAAGTAGGCGGGGCTTTGCTCAGGAATGGATGCTGTCAGGAAGCAGGGGAAGCACTGTGACTAGGTATCTTTTTCTTTTTTTTGAGATGGCGTTTTGCTCTTGTTGCCCAGGCTGGAGTGCAATGTTGCAATCTCTGCTCACCCCAACCCTTGCCTCTCGGGTTCAAGTGATTCTCCTGCCTCAGCCTCCTGAGTAGTTGAGATTACAGCCATGCACCACCACACCCAGCTAATTGTTTTTTTTAGTAGAGACGGGGTTTCTCCATGTTGGTCACGCTGGTCTGCAACTCCCGACCTCAGGTGATCTGTCCGCCTCAGCCTCCCAGAGTGCTGGGATTACAGGTGTGAGCCACCACAACTGGCCGTGACACAGCATCTTAATGCCTCTTACCTAGGAGGAGGGAAACTAGGCTCAGGCTAAAGCTGTGGGTGGCAAAGATGCAGTGATCACTCCCAGTGTCTGGGAGAAGGCTGTCTTCGTCTTCTATTTCTTTGTAGCAAATTACCATGATCTTAGTGCCATAAAACACCACCAAAGTATTCTCCCCATTTCTGAAGCTACTACAGGTCTGTAGTCTAGGTGTGGCACGGCTGGATTCTCTCTCAGGCTCTCACTGGGCTGGGGCTGCATTGGGCTGCCATTGTCTTCTGGGCCCTGGATCCTCTTCCAGGTGCACTGGCTGCTGGCAGAATTCATTTCCTAGCAGCGATGGGACTGAGGTCCCCATGTTCCATCTGGCTGAAGGCTGGGACTAGAGGCATGTGCCACTGTGCCTGGCTAATTTTTTTGTATTCTTTGTAGAGATGGGGTTTTGCCATGCTGCTCAGCTGGTCTCGAACTCCTGGGCTCAAGCAATCTGCCCCTTCAGCCTCCCAATGTGCTAGGATTACAGGCATGAGCCACCATACCTGGCCTAATTTCCCTATTTTAAGGTCCATTGATTTGGAATGTTAATTACATCCGTCAATTCCCTTCATATCAGTAGCTAGAGTAATGTTTGCTAATTGGGGGTAGGTGCGGGTACACCAGGGGCCAGAAACCTTGGGGGCAGCTTAGAATTCTACCTACCACAGGGGTATGCCTGGTGTCCTGTGGCTTCAGCAATGCTCCTGTATCATTTATGTTCCAGCATCATCAGAGAGGGGTCTTGTTTTTGTATTAAGCCATTGTGGTCCCAGTGTGACCTTATCTGATGTTGATGCTGTATGAAATATGTTGTTCACCAGCAGTTTGGGAGGCCGAGGCAGGTGGATCACCAGGTCAAGAGATCGAGACCATCCTGGCCAACATGGTGAAACCCCATCTCTACTAAAAATACCAAAATTAGCCAAGTGTTTGGCACACACCTGTAGTCCCAGCTACTTGGGAGGCTGAGATGGAAGAATCACTTGAACTCAGGAGGCAGAGGTTGCAGTGAGCGGAGACTGTGCCACTGTGCTCCAGCCAGGCGACAGAGCAAGACTCCGTCTCAAAAAAAAAAAAGAAATATGTTGTTCAACAGGCCTTGCTGGCGGTCCCAGACCAGCTCCTGGATGCCAGGGGCTGCTTTCTCCTTCTCCCGGGGAAGATGCCAGTGACGTTCATGGGACAAATGGGCAGAGACAGTGTTGCAGGACTTTTCCTTACTTCAGCTAAAGATGGGGTTCTCTGTCCTACCGCCACGAAAATTCAGGCTTGTGGACAATTTGAATGGTGAGTAAGCGAGAGTTGTATTGGGTGAAAAGGAAAGGGTGGGTGACTCCACAAGGCCAGAGTCCCCGCTACAGCGCTGGAATTCCAGGTTCCACACAGCAAGAGGAGGCACCAGCCTCCTCCCAGCTGCAAATGGAGTTTCTCCCGGAACCCTCTCCTACCTGGCTGTCTCAACAGGAAGAGCGTTCCCAGGAGAGAAAACCCAGGTAGCTAACAGACAGATGAAAAGATGTACAATGTCTCTGGCAATGAAGAAAATGAAAAGTAAAACAACAGTGAAAAGTCCTCAGACCCATCAGACCGGCAAAACATCAAAACACTCATCAGGCAAAGGTTGGCAAAGAGGAGAGAAACAGGAAATCCCATAATGCACATAGGAGGACACATTTGTAGGACTTCGCAGAGCAAGTCGGCAATATCCAGTTCAGCTGAAAATGTGCATACTCTCTGATCTGCCACTTTAAATCTGTAAATTCCCTGAAGAAATTCTTACCTATGAGCCTAAAAAGACATGTTCAAGAATGTTGATTGTACCTAACAGACACAGAACAAAACAAGTCCCCCCAAATGGAAATAACCTAATGCCCAGCACAGAAGAACGGATAAGTCAACTGGGTTGTATTCAGACACTGGAACACCAAATGGCATTTTAAAATGAAAGAACAAGAGCTACATCTATCACTTTTGAATAAATCCCAGAAAGAATGTTGAGAAAAAAACCCAAAAAACAAAAAAATCCAAGATACAGTGGGACATATTTATAACAAAGATACCATTTATATAAATTTTTTTAAAGAGGCAAAACAATGCTTCATAATTTTTATGGATACATAGACTATGTGGCAAAAATATAAAAATGTGAATGGAAAAGGTGAAGGCTGAATTCATGAGAATGATCCCCTTTGTGGAGAGAGGGAGGGAAAGGAAAAGATCCCAGAAGGATACAAAGGAGGCCTCAGATGTATCTGTAATGTGTAATTTCTTTTAAAGAATTCTCCAGCAAATATGGCTTAATATTAGGATTTGATGAAGCTGGGTCACGGGTATGTGGGATTTTATTCTTCATTCTCATCTGTATGTTTCAAACATTTATTGCCTTATTCTTTATCTGTATGTTTCAAACATGTATTGCTTCAAGGAATAAATTTGCTCTTTGATTTGAGTGAGAAGAGGTAAGTCCATTTTTCTAAACAGGGACAACTGAAACAGCAATGAGGGGACCAGGAGAACTAGGCTGGAAACCATAGAACTGGGATGCAGCCTGGGCAACATAGCAAGACCCCACTCTACAAAATAATCTTTTAATTAGCTGGATATAGTGGTATGTGCCTGCAGTCCCAGCTACTCTGGAGGCTGAGCCAGGAGGGTTGCCTGAGCCCAGGACATCAAGACTCAAGACAGGGTGACAGGGTGACATCCTGTCTCAAAAGAAGAAAAAAGAACTGGGATGTCCAGAAAGAGGGAAGAAAAAGGATCTAGAATGTTTTCAGGTTCTGAAAGCGTCCCACCCCCAGTCTAATTCTGGACTCCCATAATGCCCTATGTTTTTAGTCCGTCATTGCACTTACCATATCCAATACGAATCTTCTGTTCAGTGCTAAGGCATCATCCCATCATTTTGTTTACATCTGTTTTGTCATATGGACATACAGTTAACACACAAAGGTGGCTGTCTCAGAGGGGCAGGATTTCAGATGATGTCTACTTTATCATGTACTTTTAATATCATTTGGATACTCACAAACAGAAAATAAATTATTTTACAAAAGAAATTCTTTTCTCTGTCCTGTGTGTCTGTCTGCCTATCCCAGAATGAAACATCCTTGAAGGCAGGAAACACATCTCATCCAGATTATTTCCTCTCATCCAGCCTATCCTGTCCTGGTTCACAGCAGATGACTGGCATCCGCTGAATGAATGATGGGTGAATGAATGATGGGTCCTTGCCAAGAAAGTCTGAAGTAGCAAGGAAGGAGGTGATGGGCAGGAGGGAGGGACTAAGAATCAGAATCCTCACTGGGCTTTGCTGCCATAAAGTTTAAACATGCTCTAAGATGGTAAAAGAGAACTACAACTTATTTAAAGGCATAAAGAAACAAGCAAAGAAGCAAACCAGATGCTGTGCTGAGCCACGTGGCTTTTACAGACACAGAGCCTTAGAATAGAATGCAATCTTAAAGACACCTTGGCCTATTGTTTACCTAATGCCAGAGTCCTTCCAACAACTTTCCCAATGAACTCTTGCCCCTTGCCGACATTAGCCTCTCTCATTCTATCTTTGGCTGGCTCTGCTGGAAATTTCCTTTTGATAAGGTGAAATTCCATACTCTCCCTCCAGATCTTACTTCCATTAAACGGAAGTGGAACCTCTTTGGAGCTTTCATTCAGATCTAAGGTGGGACAAGGCATATCCCTGTAAACCCCTGTGCTTTCTAGTTTAATAAAAGAGCCCAGGTCCCCAGCATGGACAGGGTGCCCGACGCCAAGGAACTAATGGAGGAGACTCCCTGGGCCTGGAGATGCAAGGCCTGGAGGTGGGGCCGTCCATCTGGAGAGCTGAGCACCTCTCCCTCTTCGCAGGCCCCAACCGAAGCTCACTGGTTCTGTCAGATTCCTGAGGCCCAAGGAAAGAGGGTAAACACAGGAGGCTGACCTGGCTCTCTGATGATTCTAAATCTGCGTTTCCAGGTCCTCCTCTAAGTGCTTTCATTTAACCTTCACTAAACTCTATGAGGTAGGGACTGCGATCCCTCTTGAAGGGATGAGGAGACAGACACAGAGGTTGCAGCCTGTGCTCTGACCCACAAGCCCATGCAGCCCCACTTCATGTCCTGATGTCCAGAACAAGGAAGACAGCTGTGGCCCAGGGATGGAAGGCATGGGACCGTAACACCTCCGCAGCGTGGTGGGACAGAGCCCCGGAGGAGGTGTGAACCACGCGCTTGGCAGCGCCAGGCCTGTTGGTGAGAAGCAGCAAGCACCCAGCAAAGCCTGTAGGACAGGCAGCAGGGCCAGGTCACCTCCAAAGGGAAGGGGGAATCTGTCTACACTCTAGATAGGCTGCATCTACACTCACATCTACACAATGCACACATGGGTGGGAGGGTGTGTATTTGCATCATATAGATGTACTCATAATGTAGATTAACTCTGGCATTAACACTTAGCTAGAGCAAACACAGAAGGATCACTTGAGGCCAGGAGTTCAAGAGCAGCCTGGTCAACAAAGCAAGACCCCTGTCTCTGCAAAAAGTGTAAAAGTCAGCCAGGTTATGTGGTACACACCTGTAGTCCCAGATACCTGGGCGGCTGAGGCAAAAGGACTGCTTGAGCCCAGGGGGTCAATGCCGCAGTGAGCCGTGATCATGCCACTGCACTCCAGCCTGGGTAATGGAGTCTCAAAACAAAACAAAATAAAACAAACAAAAATCAGAGAAACAGACCTAGTTGTGAACTAGCAGCCAAACCTCCTGAGCCTGAGTCCACAGTGCTTATCATCACTAACCAAGAAAATTAAAAATGTTTTGACACCCAGATAAGAAGCTGGAACTCTTCCTGGCTACCTTGAACTCGCGCTGTCTGCTGACTTCAAACAGCCTGACCACCCCACCGTTTCACTATTTGATGCCTTGGGCCGTGCCTTTGTTGGTTTAGAGGTGCAGATTAGTTCCACAAGCTTAGGTAAATTCAGTCCGCTTTCCACAATCCCAGCGTGGCGAGTACAGGCAGACAAGGGGCCACACAGACCTTAGGAGAAAGGGAACCATTTTTTCCTGTTGTTTATTTTTCTTTTGATGCCATCTGCAGGGACCTGTGATAATGAAAAGCCATAACTGCCTGAAATGAGGATTTTTCCCTCTAGTAAACTGCTCTCTGAAATCCCAAAGGATAACTGTGTCTGAACTGCAAAGTCATATTGTGCCCCCTTCTTGAGATTTGTTTCCCTGAAAGTAACTCGCTCAACCACAGCCCATATCATCTCAAAGGCAAAGATAATTCGGCATAATCCCAGCCTCGTCTCCCTCTAGGTGTCTGGCAGAAGGGAGAGAACCGTGCCGCATGCAGAAGAAAATGATGTTCACTCCCCATCACTTCCTCCCAGCAAGCTCTACTCAAGACAAAGTGCATTCTGCAGAAAAATGCAGAAGAAGTCATAGATTGAGTCCAAGCGACCAAATATTTCAACAGAGAGAGAGGTCCTGTTGGTCCACAATCAATAAGTACCAGAAAACATCGGAGAAGGAGAGAAAGAGACAGAACCCAAGAAAAAGAGAGAAAAGAGAGTAGCCATCCAAGACAGGAAGAGATTGTGCGGACAGTGGCAGCAAAGGGCTTCAAGGAGGAAGAAGAGGAGAAGAACAAATGACAGAGAAGGTGTGGAAGGAAAGAGACCCGGACACAGCAAGTCAGCCAAAGACAGAGAATGGACACAGACATGCAGAGACAAATGCAACGAACACCCCAAACCCAACAGACAACGCAACCTCCGGCAGAGGTCCTTTGTCTCAAAATAATCCAAGCAGATTGCAAATTACTTCAGCCATTGTGGAAGACAGCGTGGTGATTCCTCAAAGACCTAAAAACAGAAATACCATTCCACCCAGCAATCCCATTACTGGATATGTACCCAAAGGAATATAAATCATTCCTTTAAGACACGTGCATACATATGTTCACTGCAGCACTATTCAGAATAGCAAAACGTGGAATCAATCTAAATGCCCACCAATAAGAGACTGGATAAAGAAAATGTGGTACATATACACCCTGGAATACTATGCAGCCATGAAAAAGAACAAGATTGTGTTCTTTGCAGCAACATGGATGGAGCTAGAGCGCATTATTTTTAGCAAACTGAGCCAAGAACAGAAAACCAAATACCTGATATTCTCACTGATAAGTAAGAGCTAAATGCTGATAACACATGAACACATAGAGGGGAACAACACACACTGAGCCTGTCGGAGGGAAGAGGGTGGGAGGAGGGAGAGGATCCAGAAAAATAACTAATGGGTACTAGGCTTAATACCTGGGTGACGAAATTATCTGTACAACAAACTCCATGACACAAGTTTACCTATATAACAAACCTGCACATGCACGCCTGAACTTAAAATAAAATTTAAATAAAATAAAATACCTCAAACAATTACTCAAAATTTTGGGTGGCTTCAAGTATGCCATTCATTGAAGAGATCGTCTTTGGAGGGGAGACTGCAGGCGAGGATCTCCAAGATATAACCTCATCCACTGTATGTCCCCAGTAAGCTAAACATCCCCTGTGCAAAAGCATAGATAGAGAGCCCGAGGCTCACAAATGCAAATGAATCTTACACAATTTGTTCCCTTGAGGACGAGCAGGCTGATTTGCTACAGGTAGGTAATGATGTTTTTTCCCATTCATTTTCTTCCCATCCTACCTGGTGAGCCTGTACACAGAACAGTCTGGAAGGTCTCAACAGCAATTGTCAGGCATGGAGCCAACCCTAAAGGTAAGGAATATGGAATAGCCTTAGAGATATTTTTCTCTGTAATTGCCAGGTATTTCCTCATATTTGGGGGGATGATTTTCTTTTCCACAACTAAGCTCTGTAGTGCTGATGAATACAGAGATCCCTTGCTGGGAGCATCTCACTCTTTTCCCAGCTTGACAATACCTGCTCTAAAGCTCTCCTGAGTTGCTAAGAATCCCTCTCTCAAGGGTCTTCACAATGAATTCATGTACATGGAGGAAGGATTTTCACAGAAACACATCATTTCACAGAAATGGTTGCAGAAACTCATCCTAGGTTCTCACAACCCAGCCACAGCACAAACAATCCTTGTTAGTGGCTGTAATGTAGCAGGGGATTGGCTGACTGACTGTGTCTGGGTCTCTTTCCTTCCGTGCTTTCTCTGTCATTTGTTCTTCTCTTCTTCCTCCTCCAAGCCCTTTGCTGTTGCTGTCCACACAGTCTCTTCCTGTCTTGGATGGCTACTCTCTTTTCTTAAAATCCAAGCAGATCGCAAATAACTTCAACCATTGTGGAAGACAGCGTGGTGATTCCTCGAAGACCTAAAAGCAGAAAATCATTAGACCAAGCAATCCCATTACTGGGTATATACCCAAAGGAAGATAAAGTGTTCTGTTATAAAGATACATGTATACATATGTTCATTGCAGCACTATTCACAATAGCAAAACACGGAATCAGTCTAACTGCCCATCAATAATAGACTGGATAAAAGAAAGTGGTACATACATACACCCTGGAATACTATGCAGCCATAAAGAAGAATAAGATCGGCCAGGCGTGGTGGCTCAGGCCTATAATCCCAGCACTTTGGGAGGCCGAGGCAGGTGGATCACGAGGTCAAGAGATTGAGACCATCCTGGTCAACAAGGTGAAACCCCATCTCTACTAAAAATACAAAAATTAGCTGGGCATGGTGGCACATGCCTGTAGTCCCAGCTACTCAGGAGGCTGAGGCAAGAGAATTGCTTGAACCCAGGAGGCGGAGGTTGCTGTGAGCTGAGATCACACCATTGCACTCCAGCCTGGGTAACAAGAGCGAAACTCCATCTCAAAAAAAAAAAGAACAAGATCATGTCCTTTGCAGCAACATGGATGGAGCAAGAGGGCATTATTTTTAGCAAACTAACTCAGGAACAGAAAACCAAATACCCCATGTTCTCATATGATTTAAGGGCATTTAAATGAGAACATGGGGTACTTGGTTTTCTAAATCTGGATTTAGGTCTCCCTTCCAGCTCCGTCCACTTCTCACTGTATCACTTTGGCTGTGTTCACAGGGTAGCAAAGCTCCCATCCTCACACCTGTTCCTTCCTTTTGCTTCAGCTCTTTCTTGTCTTTCACTGAAGCACTGCAACATTGAGTCCCCAGGTAGCTCCCACAAACTTCATCCCTCCCCAGAGACAACCACTATCCTGAATTCAGACCCTGTTGTGTCCATGTATATTTAATAGCTTTTTGTTTAAGTATGCACATATAAATACCATAGAGTCGTTTAGATTTCAAAAGGTTTCGTACCCTCTGCAACTTGTACGCACATATAAATATCATAAATAGTTGCCGATTTCAAAACTTTTACATCATTCTGCAACTTGCCTTTTTTTTTTCTTTCCATGATGGTTTAGAGCTTTGTCCATACATTAGCCCTGATTCATTCGTTTTAACGGTTACTGCATTCCACAGCCTCACCTGTTTTCAACAGCCTTGCTGGAAGCAGAGTCTGTGCCTTCCCATCTTCCCTCCCTTCCTCCGCAGGATTGAACATCAGAATTTGGAGCCAGATGGGCTCAGCAGTCCGTCCTGTGCTTCCAGTGGGCCAGTCCCCTGCTACATTACAGCCACTGTTAATTTCCACCAGGGTTTATCTCGAGTGATTGGATTAATGAGACTGTTGATACAGTAATTTCACTGCCGTCTTCATAATCAGTGCTCAGTGGCAGCTGTTGTAGTCATGATCCTTCTCAGTGGGAAGAGGTAGAGATAAAACTGGAAGTAGAGCTTTTCGAAACTACATGAAGCAGGAAATTTAAAATGGGACCTGGCTAATTCCTACCCAAAAGACCACTGAGACTTGGCAAATAAAAGTAAATAAAAGCTGTGCTTTGGGCATATTGGGAGATATATATAGGAATGACATTTTCTCAAAATATTGATAATTAAACAGTAATTAACTGAAAACTTCTCTTTTTGTTTTGTTTTGTTTTGTTTTAGAAAACCCTGAGAATTATATATTATAACAGCAGAATAAAATTGCATATGTTGAACTGCTGGGTTAGGTGGCTGTGAGAGCTGTGCATTGTCTGAGTTCACCATTCGGGGCGGGGGCAGATTGTCAAGCCTGTCCCTCTGATTGTAGCTGCGAGTTTCATGGCAGTGAAATCCATGTCATTTACCACTGGAGCCAAGCACATATCTGGTCTTTCCATTTGTTAAATGAATTGTTTAGTGAATGAAGAAAAGTAGCAACAGGGAAGTCATATTGGCACATAAGAATTTTCTGAAGGCTGCCCATGAAAAATGGAATTATACCAAGCTGGCAAAGGGGCTATAGATAAGCTCACACATGGCAGCTATAAACAGAAAGGGAAGAAGCATGTCTACAAATGTTATGATGAAAACAAGTTCATTCAGCAAACACCAGCCAAGGGCTTTCTAAGCCCAGTGCTACATCCTGAAGAGAAACAGAAAGGGCCTAAGGCCAAGGGAAGGGAGGAAATATTTACTGAACATCTATGGAACATCATTTTATTCATGTTAAATTTCATCTTTACCACACAGAGAAGTGGATGCAAGCTCCATTTTGCTCATGAGTATGTTACAGGACCAACAGGTTGGTATGCCCATTGCACAGTAACATACCAATTACACTGAGACAGCAGAGTTTGCAGCAGAGAAAGAGTTTAATGATCACAGGGCTCCGAGCAAGGAGATGGAAGGAGGCCCTCAAATCCATCACCCTGAGGAGCTCTAGGCTGGAGTTATTTAAGGGACCATGGAGGGCAAGGGGCTGGAAAATTGAGGTCATTGATTGGTTAGAGGAGAAAGGATGAAATCATCAGAATGTGGAAACTGCATTCTGTGGTGAGTCAGCTCCTGTGAGGTCCTTCAGACCAGCTGACGTCAGTAGCTTCATTGGTATGCAGAACCTGAAAGAATATCTCAAATGGAAAATGTAACACTTTATAACATTCAGGCTGTTATCTATAGAGCAGTTAAGGGGAACTATAATCTTGCAGGGTCTACGTGATTCTGAGGCAACAGGCACCAAACAGCTAGGAGGAAGCAGGTCAGAGAGCAGGCTGCCCTCATGATTAATACTGCGTGTGCTGCAAGCAAGCACATTCAGTATTTATCTTAGTTTCTTCCCCTTCCTTCTTCCATGACTAATTTTATAAAGTGTACAGGGATGGCTTCAAACATGCCAAGACTGAGAATGGCTGTCTAATGGAGCCACTGCCATTCAGCTAAGCAGCAGCAGACTCAGGATTCATGCCCAGTTCCCCCTGCCCTGAATGCCCTTGGCTTCCCAGAGCAAATATGGCATCTCTCCAAAGTAAGGAATGGTCCTAGACTTTGAAGAGCTTACACACTAACAAAGGAGATCGCTTCAGTTTAATTTAAAAAATAACTCATTAGAAAACAACCATGGACAGAGGGATTGACATTTCCGTACTCCTCGTAACCAGGTAAAGTTCAGTTTATGAAATTTTACCTCACACTGTTTTCTTCCTACAATCTAGAAAAACACCACCTCAATGTTTTCACTTCTTCTATTCCTGTTTCCTAGGATGATTTCTTCACACACTCCACCTGACCACATGGGTTGGTCTTTGTCAGGAACACTGCCACTCTTTGGAGCACCCAGCCTCTGAACCTCCTTCCAACGTTTGAGGTGCTCCCAATCTTATGAATTTTAGTGAGAGGCAGAGGCTACCTCCCACTACAGGGGCCAAAAACGCCAGCTGGTGACCTTTCCGGTCCTCCTGCCGCTAGAGCATGATCACATGGCCTTGACTTTGAAACAGGTGTGAGTGAGGCAAGGAAGCAAGAACCACAGATGATTCTCAATGATATTTGAGCCCCTGGTGGAAGAGTGGTGAAGTGCTAGGGCGGCAACTCCTGTCCAGAGCCAGGGCTCCTGGTGCTGGTACCGAGGGTGTAGTCTTCAGCAGGACAACAGCTGTGTCCTCCCCAGACCCACTCTGTATTGGAATGTGCTGGGATTATATCCCTTGGTCCTGGCTCAGTGGCCTCTGAACTCAGGTCTGCATGTCTCTACCCTTCTACTAAGCTAATCAACATTATTTCTTAGAGAATTTTAATCAATAATAAGACTTAAATGTGAAACTTGGATAAATTAGTTAAATCCTGCTTGCCTCCCCATAGAGAGACAACATACTGCTTGGAATTGATATTCCCATTTTCATGCATCTTTAATACTTTACTACATATTAGGGAACCCTGAGCATGACATGGCATCATCCTGTATATTCTTTATTTTTTCTTTTTGAATAGGGTCTTGCTATATTGCCCAGGCAGGTCTCAGACTCCTGGGCTCAAGCTATCCTCCCGCCTCTGCCTTGCTAAAAGCTGGGATTACAGGCGTGAGCTGCAGCGCCGGGCCATCCTGTATATCCTTAAACTTCATATGAATGGTATCATACTCTATGTATCCTTCTGAAGCTGGCTTTTTCTCACTCAACACTATGATTATTAATTATTCCAGGATGATGCATGTGGCTATTAGTTCACTCATTCTTACTGCCGAGACTCTAATAGAATTCCACTGAAAGACTGTATCACGATTTGTACATTCCCTTATAACCAGACGTTTGAGTTATTTCTAATGTTTTGTTAATATAAATAATACTGCTGCAGACCCTCTGATACGTCTTTTTCTGGTCTTTGCATGCCAGGGTTCCTAGATGGTATATTCCTAGGAGTAGAATTGATAGGTCTTTCCCTATGAGCCTCCCCAGGCTAACTAGATATTGCCATATATGTAGTTCTCTGAAGAGGTTATATCTTACATTGGTTTAACAAGTTCCTTTCGCTTAAACCATCCAGAGTCCATTTCTATTACTTGTAACTAAGAATACAGTCTGATATTGGGAGAGAATTTCCATGGGTTTCTCACCTTTGTGCACATCTTAGAGCAGAGGTTATCACTGTCTTTGTTCCAGAGTATCTTTCCAAGGATGTTTATACAATGAACAGCTTTGGAAAAGAGATAGGTCCTCAGAAGCAGAAGCCAAGGCGTATTTGTTCTCTGTGCAGAATAACAAAGATAATGTCTCCTTCCAGGGTGTAAGTTGGACAGGCTTAATTAAACTCATTATAAAAGATTCAGGTTACTTAGGCTTGGGTTTCCTCTCTTGAAATGAACCCCACTTTGTATAAAGGCATCATCTAAACATCTTCACAACCTGGGGCTCAGGGAAGTAGTATAAATGATGATATTCTGGCCATAGTCATTGCAATGAGTAACAAAGTCCTTTGTCTCTGAACCAGGAGCCTCATGTCTTCTGCCAGCATCCATAAAATTCTGTCAAGCTGACTCATTAGCTTGCAAGCAGTATAAAATCTCAGACCCTTCACAGTTCTTGAAAAATGACACAGCAAGTAGGGTGGTTTGTGTAATCAACCCTCAAGGAAACTAGGGGAGGAACCTGAGATTGGTTGTCTGAACTGATCAGAGCTTATGACACTTTTAAAAACATTAATATTAAGAAAGGAGACTTTAGCCATTCATGTGTATACATTAGGAATGCTCCCAGCTGTAAGCAATGGAATATTGATGTTAATTGTGGCTTCAGCAATAAAGACTTAATCATATCATATAACAAGAACTCTGGAAATCAGAATTGCAGAGCTGATACAGAAGCTCAGTAAGACCAAAGGCCCAGCCTCCTTTTTCCTGTTCTGTCCTGTCATCCTTAGTTGTCACCTCATCATTACCAGATAGCTGTTGCAGCTCCTCAAGGTAGACAAGAGAAAGGATGGACCAGTTTCATCTGTTCTTTTTACCAGAAAAGCAAACCATTGCCCTGAAGCCTTCTGGATCAGGATAAATCCATCACTGCTCATGACTTTCAGCTGGGCAAATGCTACCCACCCCCAGCAAAACCAGCAAGCAAGAAAGAAGAGGCCAAAGGAAAGTGGGGTGAATGTTCACCAAGGATCCTACGGTGTCTGCCACAGCCTGCCCAGAGATCCCCAGCATCCCAATACCTGATCCAGTTGCCACATCCGGCTCAAAGTCCAGGATGGCAGGTCCAAATGTGCCTTCTCAAGGTCTAGTGACCTGTAAGCTAAAGAAACCACATTATTTCATTCACCTGCTCAACAGTATCAAGGAAGGAATAGAATAAGTGAATCAACATTTTTCAGAAAAAAGGAAAAGTAGTCACCCATCCACAACATGCATACCATATCCCACTTAAAGTGAACAGAGCAGACACTCTGGCTGGCAGTCTTGAGCTCCTCAGTGTGCCAGGCCAGCAACCCCTGGTTCTGCCTTTGAAATAATCCCTTTTGCCCCTTGGCCTCTCTGGCCCCTTGTCCTGGACCCTGGAGGTGCTGCCTTGCCCACTGTCCTCCACGGCCCCTCTGAGATGGGCACTGAGACGGATGCCCTGGAGTTGCATGATTTTCACAGTCTTACGTTTTAGAAGCGGGGTCTCACTGTGTTGCCCAATCTGGTCTCAAACTCCTGGGCTCAAGCCATTCTTCCACCTCAGCTTCCTGAGTAGCTGGGGTTACAGGCACACACCACTGCTCTTGGCACAGCCCTTTCTCTTTTAGCTGGCACAGTGTTTCTTATACAGTTTTAAAAGGCTACTATGTACATTCTTGGACGAGTCTTTTTTTGGATAGCAGAAACACTTTTTCACCTATCCAATTAGAAAAGGTCAAAATCTTGGATGACACATCGCGTTGGCAAGGTCATGCAGGCAGCCAATCTCATATTGCTGATGGGAGCATAAACTGGAACTACTTCCATGGAGGGCAATTTGGCTAAATGTATCCCTCATATATATGTGAGTAATTCCAAGATATATATAGACATCTATCTATATACATTTGACTCTATACATACACATTACTCATGCAATGTCTTTTGACTAATTCCATTTCCAGGAATGTATCAAACAAATGTATTTACGCACAAAAAACGACAGTTCTACAAGATTATTCATTGCAGCCATGTTCCTAAAGCACAGGCTTGGAAAGCACCTAAATGTCAATCAATCAGGGGCGGCTGAATAAAATATGGTACATCCATACAATGATACTGTATGCAGCCATACAAAACGAGAATACTCTTAACTTAGATCTCCAAGAAACGTACTTAAAAACAGGTGCAGAACAGTGTATAGAGGATAGACAGCATCATCTGTGCCAAAAAGAAAGGGAAGTCATATGCCTCTGGAAGGACACCTAAGAAATTGATAACAAAGCTTGCAGACGCGAACTGAGTGACGTGGACATGGGTGAGAGCAAGACTTTCCACTGGTATTCGTTCTTTCGTCTTTGGGCCATGTGAATATATTAGCTAGCTAACATTTCAGATTAAACACTTGGTAGGCCAGTGTTCATGGCAGCATTGTTCACAGTAGCCAAATGATGAAACAGCCTAAATATCCATCGACGGGTAAATAAACAAACACAGTGTGGTGCATCCGCACCATGTGACTCAGGCCAGAAAAGGAAGAGAATTCTAACGCATGCTACTGCATGATGAACCTTGAGGACTATGCTCAGTGAAATCAGCCAGTCACAAAAGGGTGACTATCATATGATTCCATTACTAAGAAGGTACCGAGAAAACACAAATTCACAGAAACAGAAAGTAGAATGGGGTTGCCAGGGGCCGTAGGGGAAGGGAAAAAGGGAATTGCTGTTTAATGGGTTAGGTACCATTTTTACAAGATGAAAAGCGTCCTGGAGAGGGATCATGGTGACGGCTGCACATTATAAATGTATTCATACCACCGAAATGGACATATGTAAATGGTTACAATGGCAGTTTTCAGTTATGCGTATTTCAACACATTTTTTTTTAAATTGGTAAAGAAAGGAAAAGGAAGGAAGGGGGGAGGGAGGGAAGGAGGGAATAAGGGAGGGAAGAAGGAAGGAAGAACGGACGGATGGAAGGAAGGAGGGAATCAGACAAAATCCAATTGAGAGGCATTCTACAAAATAGCCAGTACTCAAAACTGCCGAGGTCAGGAAGAGCAAGGCCGGGCTGTCGGAAATCAGAAGAAACTGAGGAGACATAACAAGTAGATGCCATGTGCATCCTGGATTTGATCCTGGAACAGGACAGGGATGGTAACTTAAACACTTGTGAAATTCAAATAATGCCTGGAGTTAATAGACTGGCACCAATGTCCTCTGGTCCTGTAGGATATTAACAATCAGGGAAACTGGGTGAGGGGTAGATGGAGGCTCTCTATACTGCCCTAAGAATGTTTGCATAAGCCTCAAGTTATTCCAAAATAAAAAGTGTATTTTAAAACTCCAACATTTTAGTTATTTTCAGGAACAGGATTTGCCAGAATAACCTAACCCCCCTTAATCTGAAAATGGAAGGCTTTCCCCTAGACAACCCCATCACTCATTCCCTATCACCTTCAGGTCCCTGCTCCAATGTCAACTGATCGAGGATTCTCCCCTGAACACACTACTAAAAACCGCTGCAACGTTTGTAATCCGTTTCTTAGTAGCCCCGCCTCACTTGGCGTGATGGTTAATACGGAGTGTCAACTTGATTGAAGGATACAAAGTACTAATGCTGGGTGTGTCTGTCAGGGTGTTGCCAAAAGAGATGAACATTTGAGTCAGTGGGCTCGGGAAGGCAGATCCACCCTTAATCTGGTGGGCACCACCTAATCATTGCTGGCCAACATAAAGCAGGCAGAGAAACGTGAGAAGGAGAGAGGCACGAAGCTTCCCAGCCTACATCTTTCTCCCCTGCTGGATGCTTCCTGCCCTCCAGCATCCGACTCCAACTTCATCAGTTTGGGGACTCAGACTGGCTCTATCTGGCAGCGTTGGACCAACAATGAACTCCGGAGCAACAATGGCTATTGCTCATCCACAACTAGAAGTGTCGGATGTGCTATCTCCATATGGTGGCAGAGGCAGCAGTGACAGTCACACAGAAATAGAACCAATCCTACAAAAGTAATTTTGATCACGGCTCCCGCTTATGTAGCCTTCAAGTCCAGTTTTCCAGGACCTCCTCTCAGTGAGTGGGTGTGAGCTACCCAACTTAATAAATTACTTTGCTACTAATGTCAGTCAGAATTAGTGTCTGTTACTTGCAATTAAGGACCCTGATAAGTGAGTCCTTTTCTGAGGATAGTGATTTAGAAACATCGAGGTTCCAGGCAGACCCAGAAAATTGATGGTACAGTCACACTAGAAGCATATTAACGTGATTGTGCGGGCTCTGGTCCTTCAATTGAAGCTCTATTCTCTGCTGAGTTCATCCACATCGGGCATAGATACTGCTGGAATGCACATGTAATCTTACATTCAGGAGGGCTGAGGACCCTGCAATGGTTAATTTTACATGTCAACCAGACTGCTCCATGGGGTGCCCAAATATTTGGTTAAATGTTATTCTGGGTATGTGTATAAGGGTGTTTCTGGATGAGACTGACATTAGAATCAGTAGACTGAGTCAAGCAGATTGCCCTTCCCAGTGTGTGCAGACCTCATCCCATCAATCGAAGGCCTAAATTTTCAAAAGGCTGAGTAAGAGGGAATTTACTCTCTCCATCTACCTGATGGCCTTGGAGCTGGAACACTGATTTCCTGACGTGGAACTTGGAGTGAAACTTGCACCATTGGCTCTCCTGCTTCTCAGCCTTGGAACTGCAGAGCTTGGGATTGCTCAGCCTCTGTAATGACAGGAGCCAATTCCTTATAATATATCTCTTCCTCCATATCCATCCATACATGAGATATGTGACACACACACACACACACACACACACTACATACAGGTATATCTCATTTCACTGAGCATTGCTTTATTGTACTTTGCAGACATTGTGTTTTTTACAAATTGAAGGTTTGTGTTAATCCTATGTTGAGCAATTCTATCATTAAGATTTTTCCAACAGTGGGTATTTACATTGTGAGTCTGTGTCACATTCTGGAAATTCTCATAATGTTTTAAACATTGTTCTTATGATTATATCGCTGTGGTGATCTGTGATCAGTGACCTGTGACGTTACTATTGTCATTGTTGTGGTGGGTGGGACATGAACTATGCCCATGGAAGATGGTGAACTTCATCAATAAATGTGGGTGTTCCGACTACCCCACCCACGGGCTGTTTCCTCATCTCTCTTTATTTCCCTGGGTTTCCATATGCCCTGAGACACAATATTATTGAAATTAAGCCATTGAATAATCCTACAATGGTCTCTAAGTGTTTGAGTGAAAGGAAGAATTGCTTATCTCTCACTTAAAAGCTAGAGGCCAGATACAGTGGCTCATGCTTGTAATCCCAGCACTTTGGGGGACCAAGGCAGGCAGATCACTTGAGGTCAGGAGTTCAAAACCAGCATGGCCAACATGGCAAAACCCCATCTCTACTAAAAATACAAAAATTAGCCAGGCATGGTGGTACGTGCCTGTAATCCCAGCTCTTTGGGAGGCTGAGACAGGAGAATCCCTTGAACAAGGAAGGCAGAAGTTGCAGTGAGCCAAGGTCATGCCACTGCACTCCAGCCTGGGTGACAGAGCGAGACTCCATCTCAAAAAAAAAAAAAGTTAGAAATGGTTAAACGTGCTCGCTTCGGCAGCACATATACTAAAATTGGAACGATACAGAGAAGATTAGCATGGCCCCTGCGCAAGGATGACACGCAAATTCGTGAAGCGTTCCATATTTTTAAAAACCCTAGAAGGAAATCTAGGCAAAACTATTCAGGACATAGGAGTAGGCAAGGACTTCATGAACAAAACACCAAGAGCATTGGCAACAAAAGCCAAAATAGACAAATGGGACCTAATGAAACTCCACAGCTTCTGCACGGCAAAAGAAACAGTCACTAGAGTGGATCGGCAACCAACAGAATGGGAAAAAATTTTCGCAGTCTACCCATCTGACAAAGGGCTGATATCCAGAATTTACAAACAACTCAAGCAGATTTACAGGAAAAAAACAAACAAGCCCATTCAAAAGTGGGCAAAGGATATGAACAGATACTTTACGAAAGAAGACATATATGAGGCCAACAATCATATGAAAAAATGCTCATCGTCACTGGTCATCAGAGAGATGCAAATCAAAACCACATTGAGATACCATCTCACGCCAGTTAGAATGGCGATCATCAAAAAATCTGGAGACAACAGATGCTGGAGAGGATGTGGAGAAAAAGGAACACTTTTACACTGTTGGTGGGAGTGTAAATTAGTTCAACCATTGTGGAAGACAGTGTGGCGATTCCTCAAGGCCTTAGAAATAGAAATTCCATTTGACCCAGCAATCCCATTACTGGGTATATATCCAAAAGACTATAAATCGTTCTACTATAAGGACACATGTACACGAATGTTCATTGCAGCACTGTTTACAATAGCAAAGACCTGGAATCAACCCAAATGCCCATTGATAATAGACTGGATTGGAAAAATGTGGCACATATACACCATGGAATATTATGCAGCAATCAGAAATGATGAGTTCGTGTCGTTTGTAGGGACATGGATGAATCTGGAAAACATCATCCTCAGCAAACTGACACAAGAACAGAAAATGAAACACCGCATATTCTCACTCATAGGTGGGTGATGAAAAATGAGAACACATGGACACAGGGAGGGGAGTACTAAACACTGGGGTCTATTGGGGGGAAAAGGGGAGGGCCAGCGGGAGGGGGAGGTGGGGAGGGATAGCCTGGGGAGAAATGCCAAATGTGGGTGAAGGGGAGAAGAAAAGCAAAGCACACTGCCATGTGTGTACCTACGCAACTGTCTTGCATGCTCTGCTCATGTACCCCAAAACCTATAATCCAATAAAAAATTAAAAAAAAAAAAAAAAAAAAAAGAAATGGTTAAACTTAGTGAGGAAGGCATGTCTAAGCCAAGATAGACCGAAAGCTAGGCCAAACAATTAGCCAAGCTGTGAATGCAAATAAAAAGATTTTGAAGGAAATTAAAAGAGCTACTCCAGAGAACAGACTAATGATAAGGAAGGGAAACAGCCTTATAGCTGTTGTAGAGAGAGTTTGAATGGTCTAGATAGAAGACCAAAACAGCTCTAACATTCCCTTAGGCCAAAGCCTAATCCAGAGGAAGGCACTAACTCTAATCAATTCTATGAAGTCTGAGAGAGGTAAGGAAGCTGCAGAAGAACAGTTGGAGGCTAGCATAGGTTGGCTCCTGAGGTTTAAGGGAAAAAGGCATTTTCATTACACAAAAGTGCAAGGTGAAACAGCAAGTGCTGCTGTAGAAGCTGCCTGCAGCAAGTTATCCAGAAGATCTAGCTGAGATCATCGATGAGGGTGGCTTCACTAAACAACAGATTTTCAGGGTAGACCAAATAGTCTTGTATTGGAAGAAGATGCCATCTAGGGTTTTCATGACTAGAGAGAAGTAAATGCCTGGTTTCAATGCTTCAAAAATCAGATTGACTCTCTTGTTAGGGGCTAATAAAGCTGGTGATTTTAAATTGAAGCCAATGCTATTGTCCCTTCTGAAAATCCTAGGGTTCTTGAGAATTATGCTAAATCTACTCTTCCTATACTCTGTAAATGAAATAACGAAGCCTGGATGACAGTACATCTGTTTACGACATGATTTACTGAATATTTTAAGCCCACTGTTGAGACCTACTGCTCAGAAAAAAAAATTTCTTTCAAAATGTTACTACTCATTGACAGTGTACCAAGTCACCCAAGAACTCTGATGGAGATTTACAAGGAAATTAAGGTTTTCATGCCTGCTAACACATCCATTCTGTAGTCCATGGATTGAGGAGTCATTCTGATTTTCAAGTCTTATTATTTAAGCAATACATTTCACAAGGCTATAGCTACCATAGATAATGATCCCCCTGATGCATCTGGGAAAAGTAAGTTGAAAACTTTCTGGAAAGGATTTACCACTCTAGATACCATTAAGAACATGTGTGATTCATAGAAGAAGGTCAAAATATCCACCTTAGTAGGACTCTGGAAGAAATTTACTCCAACTCTCAAGAACGACTTGAAGGAGTTTAAGTTTTCAGTGGAGGAAGGAACTGCAGGTGTGGTGGAAATAGCAAGAGAGCTAGAATTGGAAGTGGAGCCTGAAGATGTGACTGAACTGCTGCAACCACGTGATGAAACTTGAACAGATGAGGAGCTGCTTCCTATGGATGAGCAAAGAAAGCAGTTTGTTGAGATGGAATCTACTCCTGGTGAAAATGCTGTGGACATTGTTGAAATGACAACCAACGTTTAGAATATTCCATAAACTTAACTGATAAAGCAGAAGCAGGGTTTGAGAAGACCGACTCCAATTTTGAAAGAAATCCTACTGTGAGTAAAATGCTGTCAAATAGCATTCCATGCTACAGAGAAATCTTTCCATGAAGAGTTAATCAATGTGAGAAACTTCATGGTCATCTTATTATAAGAAATTGACACCACCACTCCAGCCCTCAGCCACCACCACCCGGATCAATCAGCAGCCATCAACATCAAGGCAGAACCTTCCAGCAGCAAAAAGATTATGATTTGCCGAAGGCTAAGAGGATCGTTAGCATTTTTAGAAGTATTTTTAATTAAGGTATGTATATTGTTTTTTGGACATAATGCTATTGCACACTTAATAGACTACAATATAGTGCAGACATAACATTTCCATGCACTGAGAAAAGAAAAATTTCATGTGGCTCACTTTATAGCAATATTTACTAAACCAGCAACATCTCCAAGGTATACCTCTTTGTATACATACATATATACATACATATCTCCTATTTGTTTTGTTTCTCTGGAAAAAAACCTGATTAATAGAGATCCTCTCAGGAGAGAAATGTTCCTAGAAGAATAAGAAAATGTACTTCACCCCATAAGGAAGGGAAGGGCATTTCTTTTTTTTTTTTGAGACAGAGTTTCGCTCTTGTTACCCAGGCTGGAGTGCAATGGCGCGATCTTGGCTCACCGCAACCTTCACCTCCTGGGTTCAAGCAATTCTCCTGTCTCAGCTTCCCGAGTAGCTGGGATTACAGGCATGCGCCACCATGCCCAGCTAATTTTTTGTATTTTTAGTAGAAACGGGGTTTCACCATGTTGACCAGGATGGTCTCGATCTCTTGACCTCATGATCCACCCGCCTCGGCCTCCCAAAGTGCAGGGATTACAGGCGTGAGCCACCGCACCTGGACCATGAAGGGCATTTCTTTAACAAGATCTGTTAGGTTAAACCAAGATTTCTCTAACTTTGGCTATCCATACACAGACCACTTAATGGGCATTTCGAGCACAAATTTTAGGTCATTTCTCAAGAGATTCATTGTAAATGTTATGATAAAAATCACAATACATAAAATCCATACCACTCATTTCAGATCAATGAGAAAAATGACAGTTGGAATTCTTTCACCCTTGGGATTGATGACATCGTTTGTGTCACAGGATTCCACATCTGACCGGCTTCTTCTATATTTACCTAAACTTACCGGTTGTGAGTTGTTGAGCAGGGCAGCAAGAGGTTGGCTCTGTCGGAGAGTGCCAGATATTTGGGTTGAACAGGGACACGGAGATCGTGCAGAATGACTCACTGAAGGCTCTTTCAGCTCTGTCAGATGCTAAGTCAATAAGCACATCACACTGAAGAGTTGGAGGCATGACTGGGCTTGGCACCGGTGCTCAATGGATTCCTAATCTACTCTTTGGAAAGTAGCTGTTCACGCTCCATTGCAGCCCCTGGAGGTAATTTTAAAATATGCCAAATAATACATCATTGATTCCTTTCTCCCTGAGAAGGAAATCGTCCAATGTTAGAAAAAAGACAAACTTTCCACCAGTGTTCTGTTGGAAGTTGGTATCTTATCCTCGATATGAAAATTCACGGTCACTCAGCCCTGAGGCAATAGGTTCCAGCTCTAAAAACAATAAACACAGGGCTAACACCAGCGGGCAAAGCACCTGGAGCCTCAGAAACAGTTTATGGTATTATCAGCACCACGAAGAACTGTTCCTGTTTCATTCCTGCTTTCAAAAACTCTTGAGCGGTGCTTTCTCTTGGACAGGGTACTTGAGTGTTAAAATGTCTTATACTAGGTACCCAGTGGGTACAATCTGCATAGAGTCACAATTTTCATTATTTTCATCAATCTTGAATCGAGATCAAGAAGGCTAAATACCACTGGCTACCAGTTGTTCTCAGGGAAGACTCACATGTGGATCCACATTGCAGAGCAGGCTGGGCACAGTGGCTCACGCCTGTAACCTTGAGCTCATGAGTTTGAAACCAGCCTGGGCAAACATGGTAAAATCCCGTCCCTGCAAAAAAGTACAAAAATTAGCCAGGCGTGGTGTCTTGTGCCTATAGTCCCAACTACCCAGGAGGTTGAAGTGGGAGGATCCCTTGAGCCCAGAAGGTTGAGGGTGCAGTGAGCCATGATCTGACCACTGCCTCCAGCCTGGGCAAGAGAGCAAGATCCTGTCTCAAAAAAAAAAAAAAAAAAAGTCCTTTATCAATCGCTGCACTGCCTTGCTAGGCACATAGGTAAGTACACTCAGAGAAGATCCCAACACATATTTGCATATCTCTACCACAGCTCACAAACTAATCAGCAACTAAATGAAAAATCTTTTTCTGAGCACATGCTGTTTTAGTGACCAAAGAAAAAGACAAAATTCTCTAAGCTCTTTTCCCTCATGTATGCATCACACCTGTGCCATGAGCCAATTCATACCCTGCCTACGTCAGGAGTTTCCACCAGCCTCGCATGATTGCAACAGCTCTTTCATACTGCCTGTCATCTCCAACGGCACCATTTTTTAAACAAGTTTTTCAGTAACTCGTTTTGCTTAGCGCCGTATCCATTTAGCATCTGTTTTTGGCTGGTTTTACAAGCTTCCCCTCAACAGTGTAACTAACACCTTTTCCTACTATGAGGACTCCGGAACTCTGAACGGGGTCGCTGTAGTTTCAGTCTTGTCTCTGCCATTAGCAACAAAATTAATCAGGTGGAAGTTGACTAAGAGGTTTGTGTGCCCTGTCTGGGAACACCACCAGAACTTTGAAGGCTGCATTTTATACTTGACGAAGTTTTATAACGACTTATTAGGGACCGGGGAAAATAGATCGCTTTCATTAAAATCCAGTTTCTCATTTATTTACTCTCATCCCCTTATTCGCACTCCTCTTTCGACAAATGGTACAATTTTACTTGTTCCAGCACACGGAGTCACATTCTGTATTTGCATATTCTATATTTGGGTTGTGGTGTTTACATTATTGTTTTAATCTCTGTTTTTTTGGGGGGGGGTTGTTGTTTATTTGTTTGTTCGCTCTGTTGCCAGGCTGAAGTACAGTGGAAGGATCTCAGCTCACTGCAACCTCCGACTCCCTGGTCCAAACGATTCTCCTGCCTCAGCCTCCTGAGTAGCTGCGATTACAGGCCTGCGCCACCACACCCAGCTAGTTTTTGTATTTTTAATAGAGACGGGGTTTCACCATGTTGGCCAGGATGGTCTCAATCTCCTGACCTCGTGATCCGCCCACCTCAGTCTCCCAAAGTGCTGGGATTACAGGCATGAGCCACCGCACCCGGCTTTCATCTCCATTTTTATGTTTCTGTGAACCACTTATGAGCCATCTCTCATTTTTAAACTAGGGAAATGCTGCAACACGTTTCATCCTATAAATGTTCCCTTAACTGCTGCTTTTATTGTTTGTAATAGGTTTTGATGCGAATGATCTCCTTTTAGCAGGATCTCCTGTTCTTCCTTTCCCTGGTTTTCTAGATATCACAACACAAAAATGACCATAATAGATACCAAATTCCATCCATGTAGATGCTTTGATCTAGAAGAACTGAATCTGTCCAGTGAAATGTTGCCGAAGATGATACTGTGAAAATGCGGTACGTACACAGCCTTCGAGAAGATGGACACTGACTTCACTGGTTGTTTTTTTGTTTGTGTGTTTGTTTTTAATACCTGTGATTCACTTAATAGCTGAGCTGGGACCACAGGTAATCAGTGATCTGGTCACTCTTTTGATTGCCCAAATTACCAAATCAATGTTTGTTCCATTTTTGGGGGTTATTAACCTATTTCATCTTTTCTTAATTTAAAAATAATTTTTTTTATTTCCAGGAACTTTTTTGGGGGGGGCTCTTTGACCATTCCTTTGCAATACAGTCTAATATTTCAGTAAGGTTTACACAATGGCTTTAAATTTCCTGTTTCTTCCCAAGTCTGAACCAGCACTCACTAGCCTGGCTTTGGCTAGGTTTTCCTTCAAGCCACCGAGCCTGCTAAATGGTTCAGGGCCTTTCTCTGCCTACTTCCATCACTTAATGCAGGTCTGGATGTCAAGTTCTTGCAGGCCGGGGCAGCTGGCCACTTGAGGAGGAACTGTTTCCCCTGTGACTCGGGGCCCAGCAGCCTGGCAAGCAGGGGCCTCTTGACTGAAGCCCCGGAGGGGACACCCAGGATCTCAGGAACATTGGAAGGGCCAGTCCTTTCCACATGGAAGGAGAGCAGTTCAGTCCAGCAGGGCAGTTCCTCTTGAGAGGGACTAAGACCCTTGGAATCTGCAGCCTGTGCCCTCTGAATCAGTAGGCTCTGGCCTTGGCTTTGCCAGAAAGTCTGGCTTCCTTCCAGGTCCTTGGCCATTCCCTCAGTATTGCAAATAATGATGCACCAATGCAACCCTCCACTGGCCCTTGCCCACACTACCTCTCACGCTCAAAGCTCCAGATGTGTTTGGGATCCCTCTCCAGCCTCCAACAGGGAGCCACGTTTGTCTTACTGGTCAATGATCCCAGCAGAGAGGAAAGGACAGGGGGTCATGACGGTGCTCTCCAACCAACGTCTTTCCAGAGGCTCCAGTGTCCACTCGGTCTCCCATTCAGCTCATCCTTCAGGTGGTCATCAGTGAGATTTATCTAAAACACGAAAGGGTCAGACCCTGATGAGAACCATCTGTGAGTCCCCATCAGCCGAGGTCAGAGTGCAAGCTCCGGAGCACAGTTTACTGTTTTCATGGAACCACCTGCCAATGCACGGTTACCTCTGAACAGGACAGAACTGCTGTGGCTCTAACAGTGTCGCTGCATGCCTGTGTGTGCCTATCGATGCTGCTGCCTCCCACTTCCAGTGTGTTCCTATCGATGCTGCTGCTTCCCACTTCCAGTGTGTTCCTATCGATGCTGCTGCCTCCCACTTCCAGTGTGTGCCTATCGATGCTGCTGCCTCCCACTTCCAGTGTGTGCCTATCGATGCTGCTGCCTCCCACTTCCAGTGTGTGCCTATCGATGCTGCTGCCTCCCACTTCCAGTGTGTGCCTATCGATGCTGCTGCCTCCCACTTCCAGTGTGTGCCTATCGATGCTGCTGCCTCCCACTTCCAGTGTGTGCCTATCGATGCTGCTGCCTCCCACTTCCAGTGTGTGCCTATCGATGCTGCTGCCTCCCACTTCCAGTGTGTGCCTATCGATGCTGCTGCCTCCCACTTCCAGTGCTTCTTGTATCTCCGGATTTAGCTCAGGCGTCACCTCCTCCAGGAAGCTGTCCCTTTACCCCCCAGGTCAGGTGAAATAGCTGCTATCAGTTCTGCCGTAGCACTTTAGGAATGCTTCTGTTCTCAAATTCCCCTAATGCATTCACTGTTTCCAGTGGGTTTGGATACGAAGTTCCCCTGTTCTTCATTTCACTGGTTTTCTAGATATTACAATTCAAAAAAGGCCATAATAGCTGCAAAACCCAAGCAATGTAAAGAACATGTAAATAACCGTAAACACGTCGACCTGGAAGAACTGAGTCAACACATGATGTGGAACTTCTGTGATGCTGTCTCCTTTTAAGCCATTAAACCCTCAAAATTGACAACTTTGTCTTACTCATTTCTATATCCCTGGAGCCTGGGACAGTACCAGCCATGTGACATGCCCACAAAATATTATTTGTTAAGTTAAATTGAATGTATGTCACAGTTTCCAACCACACTGAAATTTCTATTTTTTTTTTTTTTTTTTTTTTTTGAGATGGAGTCTTGCTCTGTCACCAAAGCTGGAGTGCAGTGTCAAAATCTCAGCTCACTGCAACCTCCGCCTCCTGGGCTCAATCGATTCTCCTGCCTCAGCCTTCAGAGTAGCTGAGACTACAGGCTCGCACCACCACAACGGGCTAATTTTTGTATTTTTAGTAGAGACGGGGTTCCACCATACTAGTCAGGCTGGTCTTGAACTCCCCACATTGTGATCCGCCCACCTCGGCCTCCTAAAGTATTGGGATCACAGATGTGAGTCACCGTGCCTGGCCATTTCTACTCTTTTTACAATCCCCATATCAATGCCCCAGGGTATACTTAATGAATTAAATTAGAGCTTTTAATGTATAACTCCCATAACAAAGAATGTTTCATCCTTGAAAGGCAGTAGTGGTTTTCAGAAGCCATCTGAGATTGTATATCACCTGGCCTCAGATTTCTGTAGATGGATATTTTTACCCAAATAATACCATATTGCTTATTGGATATCTGAAACTCTTATTCCTCTAGAACGAACTCATTCCCATTGTCAAGGCTGCAAAATTCTATAATGCACCATGTGAAATAGGCCAAGGTGTTGCTATATCAGCAGTGAGAGATTCTTCTGCCAGCTGAGGACTCGGCTGCTTTGCCAGAAAGTTTCCTTCAACCAGACCACAGTCTCAGTTTGTCCCTGAATAATCCACATTTTCCAGTCTGTTTTGATGCATTCCTTTCCCAGCTCCTTTTTAAGTGGCTGATTCTGCCGGATCACCACAGCACTGCCACGGCCCACTTCCTGTGGGGACTGGGTTGGCATTGTTCCCTGATGCTCAGGTAGCAACGACTTGGGGGGAAAATCTTTGAGAAATGCAACTCCTAAGTTTAATGGAAAGGAGAAAAAACTGGGGCGGCACCGGGTAGGGGGAAGGTGGGAACTCTGCATTGTACTCTGAGTACATTTTTAAGCTAACAAAGCAGGCAGATTTTATATCAGCATGATGAGGAACCATCATATGTCACCCATTTTCCTATAAGGTGAGGAATTGTTCTTAATCAGCGATACAGTTAGCATCCATTCAGCCCACTGTCAGAGAATATAACCCTGGACTACCTACTCCCACCTCTTTTAGAAAGCCTTGCTAAGAGACACAATGTTTAAGAAGGAAGGCCTAGAGTCACCCACTTGTGCCTTCACTCCTATCTACTGTCCAGGTTAAACCACGAGAAAGCCCCCACTGGCCCAGTCTACAAAGTCATCTTTCACTGACACGCCCTGGGTTGTTTAATATCAACCTTCATTGAGCATCACAAGAGATGAAGTATGAAAGGTGACTCTGCTCTTGTTATAAATCTTCTTATTAAGGAGATTACTCAACATTCCCGAGAAGAACGAGACGGACAGCAATAAAAACCCTGTGCGAAGAAAAACCTGAAAAACTCACAAATCAGAGAACAGGGAGGCTGGATGACTAAAGCTAACGTGATATCCTGGACTGAATCTTGGAACGGAATTAGTGGGGAAACCGCTGAAACCGAAATAAAGTCTGGAGTTTCGCTAACAGTTACGTACCAATGTTAGTTTCTTAGTTTTGGCAAATGTATCAAGGCTCTAGAAGATGTTGACCTTAGAAGGAATTGGATGAGAAATATACAGGAACTTGGTATTATCTTTGCAACTTTTCTGTACATCTAAAATTATTCCAAGATTAATCGTTTATTTTTTAAAAAGACTTGCAGGGCTGGGAGAGGTAGCTCCCACCTGTCATCCCAGGACTTCGGGCGGCCGAGGCAGTTCAATCACTTGACACCAGGAGTTTGAGACCAGCCTGGCCAACACAGCAAAACCTGATCTCTACTAAAAACACAAAAATTAACTGGGCATGGTGGTGCACACCTGTATTCCCAGCTATTCAGGAGGCTGAGGCAGGAGAATTGCTTGAACCCAGAGGCGGAGGTTGCAGCAAACCGAGATCACACCACTGCACTCCAGCCTGGGCGACAGAGAGAAACTCTGTCTCAGAATATGTAAATTTAATAAATAATAAATAAAACTTGCAGGAGAAGCTTAGAGTCAAGAAAAAAACACATTTCCCACGAGAGTCTTGTATGCATTCTCCTTTTTAACGACAAATATCCATAACTTATTGTTCATTTCTTTTTACTTTTGCTGTTTAGATGCTCAGAGCCAAATTCTATGCTGAATTACATCAATTTTATTAACCTTTACAGTGATCACATCTGCTTCCACATTTTTCCTAATCCAAATTTCCCTTTTCTAGCAAGAATAAAGATCACTGCAGCAATCAACCTTGCTGTGTTTTTGCTCTCGTTGTCATAAACCAATTCTAATCTTTTCAGAAAGGAAGCTCTGCATTAATTATAAACTTGAAAATTGTCCAAAGGCAGGGGAGCAAGATTGGGAAGGTTTAGGAAATCGTGGGTCACGATGTACAGCTGAAGGAAGCAGCCTTCTTAGGCAGAGAGATGACTCAGGAGACAGATGATGGTTATCTTCAAATGACTGAGCAATTGCCCTTGAGAAAGCAGGAAAGACTGACTGTGGTTGCACCAAAAGGCCAAATCCCAACCAAGACGTGCACATCATGAGAGGAAGGACTCAACTCGGCACAGGGAGTAACTCACAAAGCTTCACGACAAGCGAATGGTTAGGACCCTTCCCTACAGAACCCTGAGCAGCATTTAGATCACCTGAACAGCATCCCAGGCACGCACAATACACTGATGCAGCTGCTCTGCCGCCCAGGCCCTGAGGAGCAAGTCTCTACTCTAGACCATCCATCAGGGTTCCCTCACAGGGTTCCCTCACAGGGTTCCCTCACTGGAAAGTTCCTTCCAGACGCAAGTTCTGAGATTATAGAAAAGTCATTTAGACCAGCCTGGGCAACACAGGAAGACCCTGTCTCTGAATATTTTTTTTCAATTAGCTGGGCATGGTGGCACATGCCTGTAGTCCCAGCTACTCGGGAGGCTAAGTGGGAGGATCCCTTGAGCCCAGGAATTCAAGGCTGCAGTGACCTATAACCGTGCACTGCACTCCAGCTTGGGCAACAAAGTAAGACCTCATCTCTAAAAAAATAAAGTAGTTCATGTGGGTGATCATCATTAAATGTTTAGTCAGGAGAGATAGGGCACCCTCTGCAACCACTATCTCTTTTAATCCTCCCAGTTAGTCTTCAAGGTGGCCCAGAGGGAGCATTTCTGCCCCACTGGCCAGGTCTTTTCACACCGCCCTTGTCTATAGTGGCAGTGCTTGCAGGCTAGCTCTGGCGCGATGTCCCAGAGGGAGAGTCTGAGACAGTTACACATATTGTTTTGGGAGAAGGTGTGGGTGACTGAGTTCGGTGACCAATTTAGTCGATCCCTGTGGCTGTGGCAACCAACTCAGTACTACGTTGAGAGAGGCCAGGTCTACCCGTTTTGGAAGGAAATCTGCATGCCCTCCGCCTCCCTAGCTTCTGACAGAACTTCCTCTTCTCTCTTCTCTCTATATTTGGGTTAATGTTGTGTCATATACACAATGTGGCACCCACTAGCTATGTGACCTTGGGCCGGTCACTTACCTTCTGCCATTCCTCACACTCTCCAGGCAGTTAGATGAGTATTTTTGAGAACGCTTATATCTAACATTATAGAATATAAGTGGGGGGTAAAGTGACATTTTCAAAAGCATCTAGCAATCATATAACAGGCCAAGGACCATCTACATGTTGCATTTCAAGCTTTCAACAGAAGTCCTCATTGTAGATTCCTAATAATGGAAAGAGTCAAGCTGGTGGGAGCAGAGGACAATGAAGAGAGAAGCCAGAGAAGCTACAAATCTGCCTTTCTTCATGGTCTAGGACGCAGGAGCCCCCTGCACAGATAACTCACAATCATCCTGTGCCCACCTACCACCAGACCTTCGGCTGAGAGAAGAATGCAAGTTAGCTCACTTGAGACCTTGGCATTATTAGTACTGCGCGTAGCTTTCTCCAACACAAGCACCATCCTATAAAACCCCCTTGCAGTCCGCTCCTCTCTTGCTGACTTGCCGGTTGCTATCTCGCAACGAATTTTCTTACTTTCTCTCATAAATCTGCCTTTCTTTACCCACAGCTGTTTACCACCTGTGTGATACCAGCCCCAGAGAGTCATCACCCATGACACTCATTCACCAGCAGTTTGATTTTTTTCTCTTTAACATCCCCAAGAAGTAGTCATTCACCTCCATTTTTCACATCTGCCAAATGGGGCTATGGGGCTTTTCCCAGGATTCAGCCCTCCTGACCTCAGTGGGTTACCACACTGAGTTTTAGGACAGATAAAATGGAACTCTTGTGTGATCACAGCGTCTGCTGCAGGAAAAGGATGGATGAAATAGCCTGTTATTACTGCCTTTCAGAGGAAGATGAAGCAGAATAGCACTGGCTCTCCAGAGAATCACAATTAGGACCTTTGGAGGAGGGATCTTGGTCCAAGATCAGCAAGAGGAGGAAGAGAAAAATAAATGATGTCCAAGTTTCAGGGGAGAGAACAGTAAGACAAGGGGTAGAACGACTTGTCTCTGAAAGCCAAGGTACAGCTCGATCAGACACCTTCCCTGTCCTTCAATTACCAGCAGATCATAGGGAGGATAGAACAAAACACTGAACAGAACAAACTGAGTTACACGCAGTCGCAGTGCTGTGGCAGCAGAGGAAAAGCCAGATTCTGCTCAGAGAAATCTTGGGAAACTTTATGAACCAAGCCACACTCAGACTAGGCCTTAGAGATGGTAGAGTTCTATAGATGAGGTCAGAGGAGGAGGAGGAAAAAGGGAGATTGGAATCCAGAGGACAGTGATCAAGACAAAAACAGTGGCAAATTAAAACTGTGACTTCCCATCAGATTGAAGGGAGTGGGGATCCCGGAGATGAGAATGGGGAGGCAAGTGAGGAACTAGTGCTTGCTGAGGAGTCTCAGGCTCACCTGGAGGCGCGGGTGTGACTCGGAGGGTGTGTGTGCAGGAGGACGGCTCCTAGTTATGTGCTTTTTTTTTTTTTTTTGAGATGGAGTTTCGCTCTTGTTGTCCAGGCTGGAGTACAATGGCATGATCTCAGCTCACAGCAACCTCCGCCTCCTGGGTTCAAGCGATTCTCCTACCTCAGCCTCCCAAAGTGCTGGGATTACAGATGTGAACCACCGCACCCAGCCCTAGCTGTGTTTGGATGACTTTGGAAGCAGTGAAGGTGCTGTAATCAGAAGAGGAGATTGAGCCATGAAGTCTTGGTAAGAAGTTCTTTGTAACAGGCCAAGTTTATAACATTAAGGGCTCAATCAGGGGCAGCGCAGTGACACTGGAAATTGTGGAACTGTCTAGGATATTACCAGAGTTAGAGATCCAGGTTTCTGGAAGGGGTTGCTGACGTTAAGCAAGAAATGTACAGCACTTTGGCATTTCCCCACTAGCTCAAGTACCTGTAGTGATTCCCAGTCCGACTCATCAGATTCCCAGCAGAAAATGGAGAGAAAGCACTTCTGATCACCAGGGGTCATTCCATGGCATCTGCCTTCCAACCTCATTCAGGCCGTGGTGGCAGCCATGCTCTGGCTCCCAGCATATGTGAGTCCTGGCTGAGTCCTGCGCTGGCATTTCCTTATGGAACCCCACTCCCCTCCATTCCTCAAGACCCCTCATTTTCCTCAAAGCCCACCTTGGAAGTCACCTCTAGAAAACTCTGCTCCTTCAGGGGCTGCCTCAACTATAGCCCCCAAATGACCACTGCCAACTGGACAAGCCCCCCAGGCTTTGGCTCCCTGTCCCCTCCTTACCACTGAAGATGAGCAGTACAGAATTGGCCGTGCTGCCCAAAGGGGCTGCATCTGGGCTTCCCCGCCTGGCAGAAAGGATGGCTCCCTGAATCTCTCTCCAGCAGATGACAAGAAGACAGAACTCTGCGTCTGTGAGCTGTAGAGACTCCTGACTCCCCAAGTCCTTGGGTCTCCCTCTATGCCCCACCCATTCTGCAAGGAGTCAGCGGTGGAATGTTCTAAGATGCCAACCTGTCACTGAAGCTCCCAGTCCACCTTGCTGACACCTGACTGCCTGGGACTCACGATCCAGGACGACCTGCCATCCCCGGTGTCAGCAATCTACCAAAAAAGTGAAGCCTCCTAGATTTCTTCGACTGGGAGAAAAGAAGATATTCAGCAATACAGAGAAGATAAATACTGCAGATTAGATAACTGGACAAAACGCTTGAAATTACTCAATGGCTCAGCCATCTTTTAATTACCTTGGAACAGGAGATAAGAGTAATGGAAAGCTACAGATAATCCATTCGTTTCTAAAACCTTTCACATCCAACTTGCCATTTGAAGATGCTTGCAAGACACAGAAGAGGCTGGTGAAGGGTTTTCAGGAAGGAAGTAAAATCCAAAGAATAGTAATAACACAATTTGCTCCCCATAGATGCTAACTTTGGCACAATACTGTTATTAACCACAACTCTACGTGCTCTTTCCCATTAATGGAATGGTTACATCTTTTCCAAGTGTGACAAGTGGCCTCTGATCACTCCCTAGGGATTTTCTGTTCTTTAGCCACTTACCAGTCACAATAAATTTTTCTGCAGCTCCATTTAAAATGTTATTCTCTGGGGGGTATTCTAGTTTACTTTGAATAGCCTGTAACAAATATCCCCAACCAAGAGCGGAAAGGCTTGCTCCAACCCACTCTAACAGGCAAAGAACTCTGCCCAGCCCAGGTATTAAACAACATCATGATTACAGAACAGCAGGGTGGAGCCGGGCAAGCTCCTAATTTGGCTCTCTCACTTTTACAGATGAGAACAGTGAGTTCCAGGGAAGGAAAGGGAAAGGGACATATCCAGGGTCACATGAACTAATGAGTGGGAAGAACGTACACCAGATATGGGTCCCTTAAATCTGAAACCATATCTAATTTTAAATAGACATTTTCTTTCCATTTTCTGGTTCTTTCTATAACAGCCTGAAGGGGTATGAGATGTGCCACCCAGGTTCCCCTTAAAGGAAAGCCTTAGGGCCTGGCTGTGGGGATCAGGGTCAGCACAGAGCTGCCAGCTCTCAGCTCCTTCTGGATCTGCCTCAACTGAAGAGGTCTCTTGAGACCTCGATCACCTCGGAGTCACCACTTGAGATCTCAGCCATGTAGGGGTCACCACCTGAGACGTTGATCACCACCTCTGGAGGTCTGTCCTGCAGACCCTGAGTCAATGACGGATGGATAAATGCACTCTCACACCCAGCACAATGATTTCAAGAGGACTAGGAATGGTCATCGACTGTTTTCAGAGGGCGATTGCAGCTAACCAACCATGCCTCCCTGTACCTCCTCACACGTATTCAGTATAGATTTAATAACAGAGGCTCTAAGTCAACATGCTTGTGGATAATTAACATGGTTAAAATAGTGGTTTTATGAATGATAAAAGCTCTTGATCCCAGGGCCCAGAGTAAACAACATTAACAGGTAATTCCCCTCCAACCTCCCCCTGAGAGGACCATCCAGCACAAAGTTTACATGAGTAAACGTAGAGACAAAGGGACTTGGGGTAAGCAGACTTAACTGGGAAAGCTTTATTGTCCCTAATCTTTTACCCTATGACTTAAAATTCTAACCTAATTAACTGGTTGCCTTCAGCCTGTTCCATTAAAACTTTTCCACCTTCCAAAAGGCTTGAGACTATAATCTTTTAACTTTCCCTGGTATTTCCCTAATATTTTGCAGCCACCCCGAGTGAATCCCAGCAGTCTGTGCTGCTCTCCAGTGCATGCTTCCTGGACACCCAGCACCGAGTGACTGAGGCAGGTGGGGTACAAAGGCCCGGCATTTCTGCCCAGGAAGGGCTACAGTGATGCCCAATATTCACTCCAGGGATTCCCAGTCCCACACTCTCCAGAATGTGGTCTTCCTGCCTCCCCAGCCAGTGATACAGCAGGAGAGGAAAATTGAGACACCTGGGATGGCTGGACCATCTCCCTGCCGGTCTCTGCCCAGCAACCCCAAACCCATACCCCAGATACCTTCAGTTCAGGTGGAATGGGCCAGGTTCCAGGAGCCAGCCGAGCAGTTGCATGTTGCACATAGATGCCCTCATGCCTTCTCCTGGGGAGCTGTGGGTTGCTCATATCCTTGTGGCTCTGATAGCATTTGTTGGTTTTGCTCAAAGAGGTAGGAAGTTTAAAAAATAAGGCATGATTTTGCAGAAAAGCACAAAATACTTGGGTTCCAGTTATTTGGCCATCTGTGGGTGAAGTGACCCTCTGTACAGTATTCCTGGTTCATGCCTGCCACCCCAGGATAATTATTAATAGTGCTGCCTTTCACCCTAAAATGCCTCAGCTGTGGTCACCCCATGCAAAAGTCATGGTACCTCAGAGCAAGTCTATCTGGCTGGCGGTCCTCCTCTCCAGTCTTGGAAATTTTGAGAGAGAGAGGAAGATGGTGTTCTGGGTGGTGAGTGGAAAGAATGTGCTTCCAGGACAAAGCTGGGTTTGAATGACCTCTGGCCCAGGCAGAGACTTTGGATGCATCTCCCAGCCTCTTATTGCTTTATCTGAAAAACGGAAGTAATCAAACACACCTAGGCTTCATGCACGGTTGTTGAGAACACCAAGTCAAAAACTGGATTCGGTATTTCGGTTCCTCTGAAAACCGTGAAGCCCTATTCAGATGTAAGTGTGGCCAAAATGCCTAACTCTTAAGTATTTGCTAAATGAATGAATCCTTGGCTCATTGAATGGATGGAACAGGGGGAATGTGAGGTATAATTATTATCAATATGTGACAATAATAAAATGACAACCAGGTTTTTTTCTTTCCCAAGTCAATGGGTCTCCCCTCAAGAGGTGAAGTCTAATCCCCTAGCCTTGAAAAGAGCTAGACTTAGGGACACATTTCTAAGGAAGAGAACAGAAACACAGCACAAGTGACACTGTGTATGTTCCAAGGCTAGACTATGAAAGGTACTTTAGCCTGGCTGTCTCGGGGCACTTGCTCTTCAGTCCTCACTGCCATGTTGTCAAGAAACCCAGGCCACCTTGCAGAGGCTGAGTATATGTGTTCCACTCCTCAGCCCCAGTGGAAGTCCTAGCAAACAGGATTAACAGACAGCCTTTGAGATGACTGCAGCGCCCATCAATATCTTATCGCAACCTCACAAGAGACCCCCAGTGAGAACCACTTCCTGAACCGAGTCAACAATAAAGGATTGTTTTCTGTTTAAAAAAAAAAAGTCAATGGGAATGTGTCCTGAAAACAAGATGCATCTCTTGGAGCAAACTGCCTCCCAAGGCGGTGAGAAAGGCCGTGCTAGGTATGACTCTCTGCCTATGCAGCTGGAAACGTACCGCCCTGACAGCGGCCTCGGGGGTGCACCACCCAAAGCACTCCATTCTCTTTATAGCCAATTATAGCTGTCATCTCCGCAAGTATCTTAATCTTTGAAATTACTTTGCAGGCACTTCCACCTCTTGGGATAATGATTCCATAAGCTTCTTCCCTATGAAACTCCTCCAGAATTTGAAACAATACATGCATGTCCACTGTATCCACTGTACTTACCATTTTAGAGATTATGATCATGTTCACTCTTCAGCTTCCTGGGATTTTTCATCACAACCCTTAATGGCCAGCCAGTGTGACCTAAAGCATTCAAGACCTGGGGAGTCAATGCAAACTTCCAATGAAACAGAGCTTAACTAAATAGCTTACTTGTTCATAGGTGTATAGTTTTAATAGGCTTTGAAAACAGCATGAGGGTTTTAATTTGTATTAATGAATGTAGTCCCTACTGAAGTCCTTGCAAATAAATGCACAATGATCTGAACTGTTACTATTCTTATGTATGGTTTTTATTACATGTTAAAATCGATATTTTCTTGTTTTGAGACAAAGTCTTGCTCTGTCACCAGGCTGGAGTGCAGTGGCATGATCTCGGCTCACTGCAACCTCCGACTCCCTGGTTCAAGCCACTCTCCTGCCTCAGCCTCCCGATAGCTGGGATTACAGGTACCTGCCACCACACCCAGGTAATTTTTGGATTTTTTTATTATTATACTTTAAGTCCTGGGGAATATGTGTAGAATATGCAGGTTTGTTACATAGGTATACATGTGGTTTGCTGCATCCATCACTCCATCGTCTACATTAGGTATTTCTCCTAATGCTATCCCTCCCCCTAGCCCCTTCCTCCCAACAGACCCTGGTGTGTGATGTTCCCCTCCCTGTAATTTTTGTATTTTTAGTAGAGATGGGGTTTCACCATGTTGGCCAGGATGGTCTTGATCTCTTGACCTCATGATCCACCCACTTCGGCCTCCCAAAGTGCTGGGATTACAAGCAAGAGCCACCATGCCCAGCCCAAAAGCTATATTTTTTCCTTGAATAAAGCTCCACAATCCTAGAAAAAGAAAAAAAAATACAGCCAAGAAAATGTTTGCATGCCTCCTGCCACCCTGCTCAAAATCCTCCACACTCAATGCTTCTTGCCTGCAGAAGAGAGTCCACATGACTCAAACCGATGGGCGGCCATCACAATCCTCCAACCTGATCCCTCTCTCCCCAGCAAAGCGTCAGCCATGGTGAATCTGATTTTCTCACTGACTGCCACTCCTCTATTGCCTCTCGCTGTTGTGCTCATTTGCCAATCCTGCCTCCCATGGCGGGAGTGCCTGTCCATCCTCACCCATAGTTCCCAATTCCCTGTTGTTTCTTTTTGTAAGTTCCAAGGCTTTGCAAAAACTGATGTATTATGCCTTTTCTTCTTAAAGGTCTTTCAAAGAACAAAGAGAGAATTTATATATTTTTTACTAAATAAAACGTATTTTATTTTGCAATTACCATATGGGCCCCTGGGATCGTTTTTATCAAGAGCAATGTGAATAAGACCCATGACAGAATCCAGGTGATCTTATTTTTCTTATATCTTGAGATAGTTTACTATTTCATTATCCTGGGAATTACTGTTATTCAATTACTACTATCCTGATAATTCCATCATTCTTCCATTTCAAAATTATTTTCAGCTGGGCATGGTGGTTCACACTCATTAATCCCAACACTTTGGGAAGCTGAGGCAGGCAGATTATGAGGTCAGAGGTTCAAGACCAGCCTGGCCAACATGGTGAAACCCTGTCTCTACTAAAAATACAAAAATTAGCTGGGCATGGTGACGAGTACCTGTAATCCCAGCTACTTGGGAGGCTAAGGCAGGAGAATTGCTTGAACTGGGACCCGGGAGGCAGAGGTTGCAGTGAGCCAAGATTGTGCCACTGCACCCCAGCCTGGGCTACTGAGTGAGACTCCATCTTAAAAAACAAAAATTATTTTCATCATTTTTGGCATAGTTGAGAACAACTGATTAGTGACCCAACTGTTAAAACAACTGTTCCCAACCACACCAAAAATGATGAAAATAATTTTCAAGTGGAAGAATGACGGCATGGCCCAGAAGGATGGTGCAATAGTAGGACAGACCATCATCCTTCCTTTTGTAAGACAATTTTTAATTGTTTTTTTAAATGTTTTGTGAGTACCTACTAGTGTATATATTTATGAAGCACATGACATGTTTTCATACAGGCATGCAACGTGAAATAGGCACAGTATGAAGGATGGGTCATCCATCCACGCAAGCATTTATCCTTTGAGTTACAAATAATTCGATTGCATTCTGTATTTTAAAATATACAATTAAGTTATTATTGACTATAGCCACCCTATTGTGCTGTCAAATAATAGGTCTTATCTGTTCTTTTAGCTTTATTATACCCATGAACCATCCCCACGTCCCTCCCAACTGCCCTTCCCAGCCTCTGGTAAATGTCCTTTTACTCTCTATGTCTGTGAGCTCAGTCCATTTGGATTTTCAGGTCCCACAAATAAGGGAGAACATGTCTTTCTGTGCCTGGTTTATTTCACTTAACATAATGATCTCCAGGTTTTGTTTTTTTTTTTTTTGAGATGGAGTGTTGCTCTGTCTCTTAAGCTGGAGGGCAGTGGAGCAATCTCAACTGACTGCAGCCTCCGTCTCCCGGGTTCAAGCAATTCTCCTGCCTCAGCTTCCTGAGTAGCTGGGATTCAGGCATGCACAACCACGCCTGGCTAATTTTTGTATTTTTAGTAGAGACAGGGTTTCACCATATTGGTCAGGCTGGTCTCGAACTCCCGACCTCGTGATCCGCCCATCTCAGCCTCCCAAAATGCTGGGATTACAGGTGTGAGCCAACACACCCAGGTTGTTGATCCACATTGTTGCAAATGACTGGGTCTCATTCTTTGAATGGCTGCACAGTACTCCACTGTCCACGTGTACCACATTTTCTTTATGCATTCATCTGCTGATGAACACAGGTTGCTTCCAGATCTTAGCTGTTAGAAACTTAGTGTCCAAATCTTAGCTATCGTAAACGGTGCTGGAACGAACACAGGAGTGCAGACACCTCTTTGATATACTGAGTTCCTATCTTTTGGATTTTATACCCAGCAGTGGGACTGCTGGACCATCTGGTAACTCAATTTTTAGTTTTATTGAGGAATCTCCAATCCGCTCCTTTCATTTTCTTATTACCCAAAGAATGACACCATCTCTCAAGAAGGTACAAAAGAAGGGAGGAGACACCATCTTTGTAGGGTGCTTTTTGTCTTCATTGAACACACTTGACAAGTCAGAATGTTTCATTTTCCACCCATAAAGGCAAAGAAAATAAAATGCACAGAAAAAGACATTTCAAATTATTAGATGAACCAGAAAATGAAATGAAAAGAGACAGAGAGGCACTCTAGACACTAATAATGACGGTAAAATGTATCCTTAAAGTGAAAGCTCAGGCTATCAGGCCTCAGATGACACCATCCTAAGTAAGTGTCCTCAAACTTAAGAATCAATGCGTGAACAGCATATTTTTTTAAATTGTACTTTAGGTTCTGGGGTACTTGTACAGATCATGCAGGATTGTTGCATAGGTACATACATGGCAATGTGGTTTTTTAAGAACAAAAAGGAAATACAGCATTTTTGCCCTGTTAATCAACAGAAAAGACTTCATCGCGTAATAATTTGTGACAAGAACCTGGATCACCTCCTTTTGTTAAAAGGACATGTGGCCAGGCGCAATGGCTCATGCCTGTAATCCCAGCACTTGAGAGGCCAAGGAAGGTGGATCGCCTGACATCAGGAGTTTGAGACCAGCCTGACCAACATGGTGAAACCATCTCTACTAAAAACACACACACACACATAGCCAGGCATGGTGGCACATGTCTGTAGTCCCAGCTACTTGGAAGGCTGAGGCAGAAGAATCACTTGAACCCAGGAGGCGGAGGTTGCTGTGAGCCAAGACCGCGCCATTGCACTCCAGCCTAGGTGACAAGAGTGAAAACTCCATTTCAAAAAAAAAAAAAAAAAAAAAAAAAGGACATGTGACTGCAGTGTTTCATTTTTAATTTTGTTTGTGGCTTACAATTTACCCAATGCAAGGAGGTCGGCTACATATGCATTCTCTTTAAAATTTTTAGGAAAGCTGTTTTCACTAAACTTTTATTCCCACTCTTGTAAAGTATTCACGGGAACCCACTGGACACGGATGGTAACTGGCGACAACCCTTCATCCTGGCACCTGAGAACTGAGGTCCAGGCAGAGTCCTGTCTACCTCCTAAAACTTTCTCTGGCTGTTCCAGTCTGCCCAGAACTTCCTCTTCCCTGAATTACTATTCCAAGAACTTTCACCAAAACAGTCTGGAGGTTAATGCAGGTTAGTACTTGCTTGGTTTCTTATCTAACCCAAATCATAAAGTTATCTGAGGCAAAGACACTCATCCAATATTCAAGTGCTGTGATGGGGACCACGGCTACCCTCATGGCATTTATCCAGGACCTCAGGTGTACCCAGTGTCTCAGCTATGGCAGTGCCAAATGCGAGTGCAGTGGAAAGGCTCAGAACTTTAGTTCTGAATTCACACCTGGGTCTGAATTCCACCATCACCACCTCCCATCTGTGGGACCTTGGGAAAAGTCTTCACCTCTCTGAACCATGTTCTCTTTTATCTGAGAAGTCGAGATCCAATTTCCTTTCTTGAAGAGATAAGTATTAATTTGCTAGGACTGCCACAGCAGAATGCTAGACTGAGTGGCTTAAACAACTGCTATTTCTTTTCTCACCATTCAGGACGCGGGAAATCCAAGATCAAGATGGCCCAGGTTTGGGTGCTCCTGTGGTCTCTCTGCTGGGCTTGCAGACAGTCCCCTTCTGGCTGTGTCCTCATGCCTCCTCGGTGTGTGTCTCTTTCTCTTCGTATTTTATACCACCAGTCATAATGAACTAGGATGCACCTAGATGACTGTTTTTTACCTTAACTGCCTCTTCAAAGGCCCTAACTTCAAACACGGTCACACTAGGGACTGGGGCTTCAACATATGAATTTAAGGGAGACAGAATTCAGTCCGTAACAGAGTGTTATGAAGATTAAAACATACTTTTTTAAAGAGACAGTCTCACTCTGTCACCTGGGCTGGAGTGCAATAGTGCAATCACATCTCACTGCAGTCTCAACCTCCTGGGCTCAAGCAGTCCTCCCACCTCAGCCTCCCAAGTAGCTGAGAGACTACAGGCACCCACCAGCACACTTGACTACTTTTATCATTATTTTGTAGGGACGGG